ACGCCGCAGCTCACAGGCGGGTTTGCCTCTCGTGGCCGTCGAGCGGCCAAGCTGGACTCAAGGAAACCAGCGGCCATGCCCCCGCCGGCCCCTCCCGGCGGCTGCCACAGTCATCAAGCAGCCCACGCCCAGGGTGCGTCCTCTGCTGCGTTTTGAGGCTTGGCTGCTGCCCGCGACATCGCAGACCCTCGCCCGACCTGGTGTCCACCACTCCCGGGGCCCAGCAGGTCGCTGCCGGCGGCCCGTCCCGCTATAGCCAGCCTGGGTGACGGCACGTGGCCTGCTTGTGCTTTGACCTCGAGGGCAGCACTGACTGTCCTTCTGTGTCCTGCAGAAACTATTCGGCTTCCTTTTGGAGTACATTGGAGATCTGGCTACGGACGAGCCACCGGCCCTCGGAACGATCGACAAGCTGGTCGTGTAAGTGAAGCGGGCGGGCAGCCAGCTAGCTGGACGGTTCCGTCCTGGTCAGGGTCATGAGGAGACCTGGCCGAGCGTTCAAGGCTGACCTCGTGACTGGCCTCGCTGGCAGCCCGCTGCTCCCGGCCCCTAGAGGTAGACAGTTCAGTGACAAACAGCGACTCCGAGGCCCTCGCGGCCCTTCAGGTTGGCCCGGTGTTTGCCGGCTGATTCTCACTCGCCAGCATCTCCAGCTCTGCCTGGGGCACTGAGGGTTTTGGAGTGCACAGTAGACAGCAGCCTGCTGTCGCCCCAGGCCTTGCCACAGTGGAACCCGGCGGGCTCAGGTGACCCGGGCCCTTGTTCAGCTGGTCCTGCCCTGTGCAGGGTCGGCAGTTGGTCCCAGACCCTCCCTGCACCAAAAACCCCCTGAGGCAGAGACCCACGTGCTGGCTCGTTGCCCCCCCGGCGGGGGGAAGGCATAGGCCAGTGAGAGCACGTGGCCCCGTGGTCCCCAGCAGCTCCTACTATGTCAGAAGTGCTGGTGAGCGATCCGTGAAGCACCAGTCCACATCGGCGCATGGACCACACTCTCACGGTCCTGTGACCACAAGCAGAGCTTTCCTGTGGCCACCCCGCTACAGGTTCTGGCCGGATGGTGACAAGTGGCAAGTCTGAGGACAAGTTATTACAAATACAGTCACAAAGGTCTTCTGGCTCCCAGAAGGCCAGCCAGATGCCTGTGAGGGGTAGACTGGCTCATTCAGGGGCTTCCGGTTCAGGTGTGCCATCAGCAGCTGACGTCACAGGAAAACGGCAGCTTGGGAGGTTGGGAGGTCTTCTGTGTTTCGGTGTCTGGAGTCATTCTCCCCTGACCCGAGTGTCTGATCCACAGGCAGTTGTATAATCTGTGCCAGATGTTTCCTGAATCTGCGAGCAGTTGCATGAAGTTCGTCCTCCGGGACGCCATGCACGAGATGGAAGGGATGGTCGAGGCGAAAGGCCGGGCGGTGTTTCCGGGCTTGGACGTGGTAAGCTGGGGCTCGCTTTGCCCAGCCATAGGCCGGCAGCTGCCAGGAGCCCAGTGCTGTCTGGTGTCCACGGAGGGCTGATGACAGTGTGCATGGGTGCAGGAGGTGGCCCATCCCCAGAGTTTCCAGGGTGACCTGCAGCGACTTAAGCCGTGGACTTGATGCCCCGGTACAGCAGGCCGGGCCTGCGGCCATAAACACTGCCGGCTCCCCAGGCAGTGCAGCTCCACCCTGTGCCCCCCACAGCCCACTAGAGAACCCCACATGTTCCAGAAGGGGCCAGCTGTGTGTAGCGTGCAAGTGGGGGTGCTCTAGCGGGTATGGAGCGGCAGCCGAGGGATGCTGATGCCTCCCGGGGGGCCCCTGGCCCTGGCCACAAGGCCAATGACAGCACAGCATTGCAGGAGCTTCAAAACCTGTTTTGTTCTTGAGCCTTTTTAAGAGGCGGTATTCCAAACTTCGTTTCCCCTGCTTTGATTTGTGTGATTACACTTTCTCGGCAGCTCATTTATTTGAAAATTGCTGGGATGTTATTTCCGACCTCTGACTTCCGGCACCCCGTCGTGACGCCTGCGCTGGTGTGTCTCAGCCAGCTGCTCACAAAGGTATGTCCCCACGCGCACACGTAGGCGGTCAGACGCGCTCCATCAAAGCCAGCGTCTCCCCAGGCCTTGCTGAGCGAGAGCACAGCTGGGTCAGGGTCAGGATCTGGAGGCTGACCGTTGGGCCGGGCGCAAGAGCAGCTCCTCTTAGGGGGCCTGTGAAGGCAGTGGCCCAGTCAGTGGTGGCCCTGCTCCTTCCCAGAGCCGGCTGCAGCAGCCCCTGACCAGGCGGGAGTCAGGTTTAGCACCTGGAACAGCCTTTCAAGTTAGTGGAGAAGGCCTCAGGTCCAAGAGGGGTTCTGTTCTCTTTGGCTTAAAAAGGCCTACAGGGCTCCGTCCCTCGACCGGGCGCACCGGCTGTGCTCACTGTGACCCCCAGCCCCGGGGGCGTCTTAGTGTCCACGAAGCTGTGCCTGCGCCTCCGGGCCGACTCCGCACCAGGGGTTCCCCTCAGCAGCTCCCCCTCCCGTGTTGGCAACCTCGAGCACACAGCTCACCCAGGAGCAGCTTGTCTGCCCCATGTGGTGTCTGGAACCTCGTCCTGGCCGGTCACCGAGCCCCGTTCCTCCACCAGTGCCCCGTCCTGTCTCTCCAAGACGCGGTGAAGGGTCTGTTCGTGTGCTGCGTGTTCCTGGACTACGTGTCTCTGTCTCGGAGGTTCGTCCCTGAGCTGATTAACTTTCTCCTGGGCATCCTTTACATAGCAGCTCCAAACAGCCAGAGTCCAGGTGAGTCGATCGGAGGTTGCTGCTTCGAGTATATTGTACTTCAGGGTTTTTTAAAAGACTGTTGAAAGTAATTCATACGCACTGTAAAAAGTTTAGAATACGGGAAGGTGGGAAAGCAGAGCTCAGCCTCTTCTCTGTGTGGACGTGTGTGCACACCCACTTTCTGAAGAGGTCGGGACTCTGTCCTGGGTGCGACTCGGTAGCCAGGAGCCACACGGGGAGTCAGCAGAGACGCGCTCTGCGTGAGGGACAGCCCAGAATGTCTCAGCGCTCTGCACTGATCGTGCATTGCAATGACAGTGTTTTTACGTTTTGGATCATATAAACTACACAGTGGAGATGTATCTCATTCTTTGCTTTTTTTGTGTGGCAGCAAGACTGTCATGCACCGCATGGCCCCCATGGTGTCGGGCACCGCTCTGCGCGTCTCTGGTCTTGGTATTTGGGAAAGAGAGCGACTCAAAGGCAGGGTTCTGGGGCGCACTTCAGCTCTTGATTGTATTGTTCTCAGCGCAGCCCTCCCCACTCCCCCAGGCACCCCGCAACGCAGACCACAGCCTTCCAGAGCTCCCCCCAGACAGGGCTCCCCCCTCGGGACCACCGAGAGACTGCGCTTGGCCTCTGTCCCCTTGGCCGGCTGTGCCTGTCTGCCTCGGAAGTGCCAGTGGGGCAGAGCTGTTCCAGGCCTTGGGGACTGTGCCCTGTGCGCACTAAATGCCTGTCCTTTTGCCTTCTCCGCGTAACCTCATAACGGGACCGTCCTGCGTGTGGCTCCGCGCTGGCCGCACTGACGCACTCTGCGTGGCAGGCACAGGACAGGCGGGGTCATGCCCAGGGAAGCCTGTCGTTAGACGGATGTCAGGGCAGAGTACGGAACGTCCCGGACACGGCCGGGCAGTGGGCAGGTGGACTGCTGTTGCCACTTGCACCTCTCCCTTTGCCCGGTCACCGCTCGCTCACCCACCCACTGTGCTGAGCCCAGACCACAGCAGGCCCTCTGCCCTCCCCGGCCGCTCCTTCCGCCACATCTGCTGTTCTGGGTGACAGGGCGTGTCCTGCACTCCCAACTGACCCCTAACCTTCGCTGCTTCCCTTGTTCACGGCTTCTAACACTCCACCCGCTCCATCCGCGTCATCCGGTGGCGTTTACTGCCTGTCTCCCCTGCAAGGGCAGGGACCTGGTCCGTTCTTGGGCTTGGCCCCAGTGCCCGCCAAAGCCGTCTGCACAGTAAAAAGCAGCGCGTTTGTGAAGAGTGAACTTGCTAAAGGCTTTGGTGCCCGCGAGCCCAGTAACACTCAGGCCCTCTCTGTCCCTGTCCCTGTCCCGCTGCGATTCAGGTTACACTCTGGTGCACCCTTTCAGAGCCCTTGGCAAGAACTCGGAATTGCTCCTGGTGTCTGATGAAGAGGACACGGCCACGTGGCAGAGGAGGAGCCTCGCCCTGCACTGGGCAAGTGGGCCACCAGCCCGGACTGAGACCGAGGCCAACCACATCAGGTTTGTGCAGCCCGGGCCCCACCGGGACCTGGCACCCGAGGGTGCCCCAGTGTCTCCGTTTGCAGGTGACACGCACTTACGTGGAGTCCTAAACTCCACAGACAGACTGTTAGATTCAGTCAACGAATTCGGGTACGTAGCAGGACAGAAAGTCCGCACACTGCCATCAAGTGCATTTCCACCCGTGAGCGAAGGACTCACAACCACCCCCATTTATGGTAGCGTCAAAAAGAACAAACCGCTTAGGAATTAGCCACAGAGGTGGGAGGCCTGTACAGTGCCAACGGCGAACTCCACTGAAAAAGCACAGCCGGTGTGGACGGAACACATCGTGCTCGAGGGCTGGGAGCCGCAGCCGCCTCCCGCCCCCTCCGCGTGGGCTTCGGTCCGAGCAGGACTCCCGTGGGGCTCCGACACTCCGTCCGGCAAGGACAGGGAGCACTGGCCTTTGTGTTGTTTTTATCGTGATACAACACACACGATGAAATTTGCCGTCCGAAGCGTTTGCGCGTCCAGGGGTACCGCGTGCGCTCACACTGCCGCGCGGCCGTCACTGCCTCCCGTTCGGTGTTGGTCCTTCTGTGACTGGCTTGTTCCACGAGCACAGCGTCCCCGGGCTCATCCATGTGGCCGATGGCAGGATTCCTGTCCTTTTTCAAGCTGAGTAACACACCTCGTGTGGGTGGATGTTCGCGTACGCTTTCCTCCACCAGGGGGTCGGGCGGCTTCCACGTTCTCGCGCCGAGTGGCGCTGCCGTGAGCATGGCGTGCAGACACCACCTGCAGACCCTGCTTTCAGCTCTCGTGGGCCCAGACCCAGAAGTGGACTGCTGGGTCACGTGGCCATCCTGTTGGTTTTCTGAGGCACGGCCATGCACGCTGCTGTCCGTCTGTCTCACCCACAGTGCACAGGGCTGTTGCTCACGTCCTCGCCAGCACGTGCTGTTTTCTGGGTCTTTCGGCAGCAGCCACGGTAGCCGTCCTACTGGGCGTGAGGTGGTGTCTCGCTGTGGCCTTGATGTGCGTCTCCCTGATGACTAGTGGTGCTGAGCACCCCTGCATGTGCCTGTTGGCCATCTGTATGTTCTCTCTAGAAAAATCTATTCAAGTCCTGATGGCAATTACTTCTCTGAAAAAAATAACTTTCCCAGAATCTGTTATTATTTTCATGACATATCTGCCTGATTTTTCAGATAATTTAGAAACTAAAGCGGAAGCCAGTTTTCACGCTGGCGTCACATTTCCACGACAAGCCTCCCACTTCGGGACACGTGCTGTTCTCCTCGGTGTCAGCTTGTCTACTGCCACCCACGTTGGGCTTTTCAGGGTCGTTCGGGGGACACTGGTCTTTGCCGGGATTGTTGTCTCTTGCTCTGAAGCTGGCTGTCGCCCGTGCAGGCTGTCCTGCCTGGCCGTGTGCCTGGCCCTGGTGAAGCGCTGTGTGCTCATGTACAGTGGCCTGCCGTCCTTCCACGACATCGTGAGGCCCCTCAGAGCCCTCCTGACAGAGCACCTGGCCAGCTGCAGTCACCCCCGCGAGCTCCAGGTGAGGCCCCTGGCCCCAGGGCGCTCTGCCCCAGCTCGGCCTTGTCCTGATGGGGAGCCAGTGAGCAATGTTCTTGCCGTTGGGGTTGCAGCCCTCATCGAGGACACCGTGTTTGCAGGTTAGGGACAAATGGGAAACAGGGTCACAGTGAGAACCTCCGAGAACCACCGCACGAGCGAGTCTGGACCTGGGGTTTATCCAAGAACTGTTCCATTGTCACATGCCCCCTTCTGCCTGCCCACTGCCCGCCAGGCCTGGGCCCCGGTCCTTCCCGGGCCACGTGGGTTTTCTGAAGACAGTGCCACCATCCTGTACGAGGTGACAGACACTGCCGCACTCTCTCTGCCCTGGACGCCCCAGTGGACGTTCGGATGAGTGTCTTGGCCACCATGCTGTGGCAGGCCTTCAGCTCTGCCCTCATCCGTCTGTACCTGCTCCCCGTCCTTCCACAGAACAGGGTCCTGTCAGGATGTCGTCCCTCCAGCGGCCTGGCCCTGCCCTGCACACTCTCCGACCTCCGCGTAGGGCCGTCGCACGTGCCTTTGCCTCTGCCTAGAATGCCCTCCTTAGAGCTTTGTGACTGGTCCCCGCGCGTCCCCAGCCTCTCCACGGTGTGACCCTCCAGCTCCTCGGGACATGGGCTTGTGAGGACATCATGTCATCTTGTGGAAGGTCGATGAGGCTGAGGTGTCAACACCTGCCCCTACCTTGCCTCCACCTACCATGGACCTAGCTGTGGCTTGCCATTTAGTTGAAAGAGCAGAGTGACTGTCAAGGCTTGTGGGGTTTGGGCTGGCCAAGGGACCACAGGGGCTCCTGGACTTGGGTGAACTGAGTTGGTCATACTTTGCGTGTAGTCCTCGTGGAGCCTGGGCATTTCACCTCAGATGAACTGCCAGGTGGGCGGGGGGATGGCTGTGTCTGTGGTGCAGGGAGCCTGAGTTCCAGGACACACCTACGCGAGGGGAAAGGAATGGAACCAGCATCAGCGAGCTGGCTTCTAGCAAGTTCCTCAGAAGCACCAGCCAACTCTCTAGGAAGCCAAGGCTGTAACAAAAGCGTCTTGGCCGTCTGGCTCTTTCTGTTGGGGTAGAAGGGGGGTCAGCTCATAGGCTGGTGGGGGCTCGGTCCCGGTGGGCACCCCGTGGTGTGGCTCTCCGTCGGGTGCGACTCCCAGCAGGCCTTGCGAGGCGTGTCACTGGCGCCCCGTGCAGACGAGTTTCTCTGGGAAAGAAGACGCTGTCGCATTTGCTAGAGGCTGGAAGCACAGCCGCCTCCACTTCCCAGCGCCCACGCCCACACCCCTCCCGTCCTGCCCACGGGCGGTGACGGAGGACGGGCGCCGCTTGTGCAGCCCCCTCCCCCGTCAGCAAGACGGTGCTGCTCCATCACGGCCACACCTTGGGCACAGCTTCTGTGCACCCCTTTATCAGCAGATGAGGTGAAGGCCCGGTGGGGGAACTGACAGCAGGAGGGTCTGGAGGCGGCAAGGTCTCGCTCTCTGTCCCCTGTCCCCGAGACCACAGAGCCTGTTGGAGGAGCCCGTGAGGCTACAGTGGGGGGGCCCCTCACCCGTCTTTTCACGTGTTTCAGGAGCTGATTCGGGGCACGCTGACGGACATGGAAGCCCAGGAGCAGCACTGTCAGCCCCTCATCTGCGCGAAGAGCAAGCCGGTGCCTCTGAAGCTGTTCACGCCCCGGCTGGTCAAAGTGTGAGCGCCGCCGCTCCCCCGGGCGCCCGGGCTCCCGCGGGGCCAGGGTCGAGGCCGCGGGCTCAGCCGTCAGGTGGCGGGGTCGTGGCCGATCGCGCAGTGGGACCGACTGGGCCTCTGCTTTCAGCCTCGAGTTTGGAAGGAAGCAGGGGAGCAGCAGGGAGGAGCAGGAGCGGAAAAGGCTAATGCACAAGCACAGGCGTGAATTCAAAGGCGCCGTCCGGGAAATTCGCAAGGACAACCAGTTCCTGGCCCGGATGCAGCTCGCGGAGACCATGGAGCGGTGAGGGGGCCGGGGCAGGGGGCCCCGGGGACGGCGGCCTTCACGCCGTGCTCCCCACACGTGGCCCTTGGGCCTGGGGCTGGGTGGGCTTCGGCCATTTCCTTCCTCCAGACTGGACGTGGGGGGGGTCACAGGCCCCACGTGGTTCTGAACTGCTGTAGAGTTAGATATGAAAAGGAGCCAAAAATGAATCCTCCAAAAACAGGCTTTTTTTTTTCCCCACTTTCAGGGATGCGGAGAGAAAGCGGAAAGTGAAGCAACTTTTTAACAGTCTGGCCGCACAGGAAGGCGCGTGGCGGGCTCTGAAGAGGAAGAAGCTCAAAAGATAGCTCCACAGATGAGGCGACGAGACGGAGGCTGTCGTAATGGGGTGTGGGTTTTTGTCCCTGTACCTCAGTTCCTGTCAAAACGTCTCTCCTGGTGACAACGTGCGCTTTTGGAACTGGGAACGGTTTTCTGCACGCGTGACGAGAAACTCTGAACGCCTCGGTCCACCGAGCTTCCACACACCTGTGAGTCGCAGGGTTTGGGACAGCGTTCTGGCCAGCATCGTTTCTGGTCAAGCAAGGATGTTTGCCTTCTGTATAGAATTCAGCGTTAATACATTAATGATATTTTCAATTACAAATTAAACTGAAGTTTGCAAACAGTTTGGAAATCAAAAAAATCAACCAGAATCCAAGTACCCTAAAAGCCAAGACTGGCGTTGTCGTAAGTGCCTTTATCCCATGCTTTGAGGTGTCAGGTCTGGTCTCCGGAGCCGCGGGGATGGGGAGGAGCTTGGGTGTGTCGCACTGACCCAGGAGGCAGCTGAAGTTCCGAGTCCAAACAAACTGGAAGAGGCAGAGTTTATGGTTAAGGCTGAAAGCGTGTAAGTTAAGAGAGCCGCTTTCATCCTGCACTTAACCAGCGGCTTCGGTCAGCTTGCAGTTTGCCAGACCCCAGAGGGGATGGGGCCTGCCCGAAGGGAAGACCACGAGGTGCCTGGACCGGCCTGTTCTTAGCATTTCGTTATGAATCCATGCGTATCCACCGCGTGTTCTCTCCTCGGCCGCTCCCCTCCCCCCTATTGTGGGAGGTGCTAATGGAGTTAACCTTCTGTCTGGAGCACGTTGAGTCCCAGGCTCCCAAAGGGGGAGCATGGCACAGCCCAGAGGAAATGACCACTGCCCCGGTGAGGGTAAGGAACGTAGGAATGTCCCATCTTCAGGCCAGGTGCTCATGGGCTTTCTTGGCTGTAGTGCAGAGAGCAGTGTGTGGGTGCCCAGGGGCGGACTGTGGTGCTTCACATGTTGACGTGGAAGGTGAACGGGACTTCCCAGACTCCCCCCATCTGCTTCCACTCAGGGCTGGCCACGGTGGTAAGAATTTTCGATGAGAAAGCAGCAGGAGGTGGTCCTGGCCAGGCGCTCGTGTCCAGAGCTCCTCCACTTGCCTGTGGTTTCTTCCTCTCCCGGTGGCCAGCGTGCTGCCAGCTACAGCCTGTGGCTTTAGGTGGCCTCTGCTCTCCTTACCTCACGTTCCGCTTTCCCCACCTGCCTGTCCTAGGCCTTAAGGCTCAGCAGATGCAGCGGAAAGTCCAACCGAGAGACTCGTGTGTGGTCGATCCAACGTGGGTGATGGCCTGTGTTTGTAAGGCGCCCAAGCTGGCACCGTGGAAGATGGGAGGAGGGTCCCAGGGCTGGACACCACCGTTCCGCCTTGCAGGGCGGAGGACCAAAGGCCTCGAGGTCCTTGGAGAGGGTCACACCCCTAGGGCAGAGGTTGGGGGGCAAATGGGACTGTGGGCAGTCAGAACAAGCCCCTGCCAGGGCCGGGGTTCTGCAACCGCGGGATGGATGGCGGGAGACGCTCGTCGACGTCCGCCCGCAGTGTCCCTTGCAAGGAGCCTCGGGCCGCGAACACGCGTGGCGCCTGCAGGAAGAGGCCCAAAACCCGCCGGGACGCTAACGACGGAACCCCTCCCGGGCGTGGCCTGAAGCTTCGCAGCCCGGCAGTCAGGAGAACGGCGCCCCCGGCGGCCTCTGTCGCGGAAGGGGGCGGGGCCAGGGGCCCGAAGGCCGAGGGGACGAGTACGAACGCCCGCCCGGGAGCGCGCCAGCCGGAAGGGGAAGCGCGGCAAGGCGCCACTTCCGGGACGGGCGTGGCCGGGGCGTGGCCTGCGCGCTCGCCGCGCCCCCGGCAGCGTGCCCGAGGCCCCTTCCGCGTCCCTGTCCATCTATCCGACCATCCGACCCCATCGCGCGCGCGACCGCTGCAGGTGAGAGGCTGGACGAAGTGCGGGACTGGGGGGGGTGCGGGTCCGGGACGGGGTCTCCAGCTCCAGTGCGCGTCCCGCGGCCCCGCCCGGGAGGCGAGCCCGGGGCGGGCCGGGGTCTGGGCCGACGGGGATGGTGTTCTCTGGGGCGCAGGGACCCCCCCCCGCGCGTCGGTCCGGAGTCGCAGGTGTCCCGCTCTCCACCGTCTACCGAATTTCCCTGCTTGCGCCTCATGGGGACGCGGGGCGGCTGGCTGGGGTGGGGTGCTGCCCGGGGCCGCGATGCCCCCACCCCGGCCCCTTGGGGCGGTTGGCCTCACTGGCTGCGGTTTCCTTGCGCAACCTCCGCAACCTGAGTTTCCTGCTGCCCGACGTCGGGGGGAAGGGCGCACATTGAGACCCCCTTGTTGTGTGATGGGCACCCCAGCAGGGCGGGGCAGGCCCTCTCTTTAGGGTGCCCACTGGCTGATTGCAGGTTAGTCATCACAGGAGCTGGGAATCTCAGTTTCCCTTAGTAGAGTAGGTGTCTGGGACTGGGTTACCCAGAGGTGCCCTCATGGAGACCCGCCACACCCCCAGCCAGGCCGGATCCGAGCCACCGCATCATGGGCTGGGGAGCTGGCGGGAGCTGCACGCCGCGCCCACCCATCCGCCAGCAGCCGGCGGAGACCCGCGTGATCACTGTGATCTTTCTCGGCCTCCTGCTGGACCTCCTGGCCTTCACTCTGCTGCTGCCCCTGCTGCCAGGGCTGCTCGAGAACCACAGCCGAGCCCAGGTGAGCGCTCCCCACACCCCACCTGCCCCCATCCCGATGCCCCTGGCCGCCGCAGTTGCTGGCCCCGGGCTCTAGCCCAGCAGGGACTCCCCCCGCCATTATCATGGTTCCTTGTCCTCCAGGACCCCCTCTATGGCTCATGGCAGCAAGGGGTGGACTGGTTTGCTGCAGCCATCGGGATGCCAGCAGAGAAGAGGTACAACAGTGTCCTGTTCGGAGGTATGGCCCTGAGCCCCCTGGGGTCCTTAGACTCCTCCCTGCTCCCCAGGCTCCTGTCCATCCCAGGCCCTTGTCTGCCCCTTGTCTGCCCCTGCACCATCTGCTCCCTCTCCCAGTGTCCACTCTTGCAGGGCCACCTCCGCTCAAGGTCTGTGGCCTGGCATTGCAGGGCTAGCGTGATCAGACCCTTGGGGACTGAGACTGAGCTGCGGTGACCGTGACTTCCATCTTTCAGGTCTGATTGGCTCCGTCTTCTCAGTCCTGCAGTTCCTCTCGGCACCGCTCACAGGGGCCACCTCTGACTGCCTGGGAAGGCGCCCCGTGATGCTGCTGTCCTTGGTACGGGTGCCCACCGAGGGGGAGCACGCAGCCTTCCCCCACCCAGCAGCCCTCTGGGGAGGGAAGGGGCAGCTGTGGGCCCCTCGTTGCCCCTGGGCTGTGGTGCCTGAGGGGGCGGTAGTTCCTGTGTCTGAGCCAGGCTGTCCCAGAGCTCTTCTTGCCACACACGGGACAATGGGAACACAAGTGGCCCATGGCTGCTCCAGAACAGGGCAGGGTCCCAGGGGTGTTGCTGGGTTTGCCAGCCCCACTCTGGCCCCTCCTGGCGTCAAGTGACTATGCCTGCCCCTCGGCCCCTGCCCTGAGGCAGGCAGGCCTGGCCACCTCGTATGCCGTGTGGGCTGCCTCGGAGAGCTTTGCGGCCTTCCTGGCCTCCAGGGTGATCGGTGGCATCAGCAAGGGGAACGTCAGCCTCTCCACGGCCATTGTCGCCGACCTGGGCTCGCCACCTGCCCGCAGCCGAGGCATGGTGAGTGCACATGCTGTGGACGAGGGACCGGGGCCCAGGTCTCTCTCCTGACTCACGCGGCCTTGTCCCCAGGCAGTCATCGGAGTGGCCTTCTCGCTGGGCTTCACGCTGGGCCCCATGCTGGGCGCCTCCCTGCCCGTGCGGACGGCGCCGTGGCTCGCTCTGCTCTTCGCAGTGTCTGACCTGCTGTTCCTCTTCTGCTTCCTGCCAGAGACGCTGCCCCCAGAGAAGCGGGTACGGTGGGACCCGGAAACTGACGCGTCCCCAGGCTGGAGGCTTGGTTCCCTGGGCCTGTAGGGATGCCGGTGTCTGCCAGTCCCCGGTGCCGGGGGAGGCGGAGTGGTCCTCTCCTAGTGTGTAGAGACTCTTGGGGCCACAGTGCTTGGCAGGTGGACTAGAAGCTTCCTGCGTGATCACTGTGGATACGAGGGCCTTGCAGGAGTGGGGGCGGAGCAGGTTCCGGTCACACTGGTCCCAGGCTGCCGGGGGAGCCCCTGACCCCCCAGACATCTCCAGCTTCGCCCCCACCAGGCGCCATCTATCAGCCTGGGATTCCGAGCTGCTGCTGACCTGCTCAGCCCCCTGGCACTGCTCCGCTTCTCGGCCGTGGCTCATGGCCAGGACCCACCCACTGGAGACAGTAAGGCGCCGCCCCTCACGTGGGTGGGGCTCCCCCCCACCACCCCCCGCCCCGCTACCGTGGACACTGCGGACCCCTCACCCCCCTCCCTGCTGCTCACCAGGGCTCAGACACCTGCGCCGCCTGGGCCTCGTCTACTTCCTCTACCTCTTCCTGTTCTCGGGCCTGGAGTTCACACTGACAGCCCCCACGAGGACCTGCCCGCGGACCCCCTGCTTCAGGGCTGGCTCCTGCCCTGCCACCTTCCCCAGGGCCCCGCCCAGGAACTGGGGCAGGGCGGGTGGTGGCGTGGTGGAGCAGGGGTGGCTTCCACCCACAGGGCTGCGGCACTAACCCCCCGCCCGCCCCAGTCTGCAGCAGGGGAAGATGTTCTTCTTCATCGGTCTTGCCATGGCCACCATCCAGGGCACCTACACCCGGCGCATCAGCCCTGGCAGGGAAATCGTGGCTGTGAAGCAGGTATGGGGGCTCCCCCAAAAGTGGGGGGCAGAAGGGACCCTGGGCTCTGCAGGAAGCAGCAGGGGTGGGTCCTGAAGCCCACTGTGCCCACCCACAGGCCATCCTGCTGCTGGTCCCCGCCTTCCTCCTCATCGGCTGGGGGTTCACGCTGCCCACGCTGGGCCTGGGGCTGCTGCTCTACTCCTTCGGTGAGTGGCCGGCCGGGGCCACCGGTGGGGAGGTGGCCGGGAATCCCTCGGGTCACACGCCCACCACCCTGTCCTCTGAGCTGATGGGTGCCTCACTGATGTCCCCCGCTAGCCGCTGCTGTCGTGGTGCCCTGCCTGTCTTCCGTGGTCGCTGGCTATGGTGAGAGGCCCTTCCCTTGACGAGGCTGCCTCAGGTGGGAGGCTGGCAGGCACCTGATGGCCTCTCCCCTGCCCCTCAGGCTCGCCTGGGCAGAAGGGCACGGTCATGGGCACGCTGCGGAGCCTGGGCGCCCTGGCCAGGGCGCTGGGGCCCATGGTGGCCGCCTCAGGTAAGAGCCGCAGGACAGCACTCGTGCTCCCTGGGCAGGCCAGGCCCCTGGTGTGCGCCTGCCCGTTGGGTGCCAGGCACTTCACAGCCCCGCAGCTCTGTCCTGCTGCCCCGGGGCTGAGGAGCGGGGCCGGGGTGGCCGAGGGGCCCCGTCAGCGCTCTGTGTCTCCGCAGCGTACTGGCTGGCGGGCGCGCCGGCCTGCTTCACCGTGAGCGCGGGGCTCTTCCTGCTCCCCTTCCTTCTCCTGCGGAGCCTGACGGCCCCAGCACCGACGCTCAAGGCCGAGTAGCTGAGCTGGCCCGGCCCCAGACTGGGGGCTCCAAGACAGGAAAGGGGGGGCTCAGCCAGGACCCCTCCGTGCCCCTGGGCCCAGCCCCGGGGGCCACGACACTCCTCCGCCTCGTCCGTCCAGTGGGACCCGGGCAGCCCTGCCCACCGAGCGCACAGCAGGGTCAGCTGCCTCCACGACCTTCCAGGCTTTCGGTTTGCTTGTTTACTCAGCGACACAGAGTGTCAGCCTGGTGTCCTGATGACAAAATAAAACAACTATTTTATACTAAGCCTTTCTCCCGTGCACTTTCTCGACACACCACACCCTGGGAGACCCCCAGGCACCAACGTGGCCCTCAGCGCCCCGCCAAGCAGAGGGCTGTCCCCCAACCTGCTTCCCCTCTGTGCACAGCGAGGGCGGAAAGTCGGACACAGGTCCTTCCATGACAAGTCAGCACTGGCGGGGCGACACCTGGTGGGTACCCTGCACCCTGGCAGACTGGGAAGGAGGGGCCCCTCTACCAGACCGTCCCCATCCAGGTCCCAGCCCTGTCTGTCCGCCCAGCCCCAGCCAGGCTGGCTCCAGGTCTGCTTAGACTGCAGGGGACAGAAGACTGTCAGGATGGCTCTCCGTGGCTAGGTGGGCCCTGCCCAGGACCCTTGGCCACCACCGTCTGCTTCCAGGGAGGCACGAGCTGCTACTAACTAGGGCAGGACAGCTCTGAGTGACAAGGTCCTTCCCAGCCCAAAGTAACAAATGGCGTTCGATCAGAAAGCAGCACTTCGGGGTCCCTTTTTGGAACATGAGACAAAGTTCTGGAAGTCCGATTTTAAAGGAACAAAGAAAAGGAATTAACACGTGAAAGTGCTCGCCAGGTTCGGACGAGGGAGCTGCTGAAAGAATTTTATTTGTGAGTAAAACGCGGTTCACTGGAGGAAGGACGCAGGGCTCGCCCTCCCGGCCCGTGTCTGCGCGCGCAACTGCACTGCACGTGGTGACGAGGTTACGCTACAAAAGTGAAATTAAAGTCACTGCGTGTGAGGGACAAAGAAAGTGACAGCGGAAGAGTCCGTGCTTAACTGAGGGACGGCGCGATGGGGCCTTTAGCACACCTCGGCAACAAAACGACACGAGAAAAGCAGCTTGCTCGCCGTGAGCTCGAAGCGGCGGCCAGCCTCGAGGCCCGCACGGGTGTGCGGACTGCGGGACGCGAGCCCCGTCAGGTGCCAGCTCTACCGAGGACCCCGCCTGTCCCCAGGGGGCCTGCCTGGGGAGCAGGCAGGCTTGCCCACACCTAGTCAGGTCGGCACGGGGCAGCTCCTGCAACGGGTCACCCTCGAGGAGTCCCCGTGGCCACCCGCTAGTTCCCACTGAGCAGCCTGACGCTCCTTCCGGGGATCTGAGTTAAGTGCGAACACTGGTGTGAGCAGGGAGGGCAGGCGTGGGGCACGGGGTCAGGTGGGGACCCCTAGGGCCGACTTCTGCCTTGAGCCGCCCTGGACCGCAGCCACGGTGTCGCTCGGGCTGAGTTACAGTAGGAGTAGAGCCCTCTCAGTTCTGAAACCTCCCCCACAACAGGTGACCGCTGCTCTGCAGCAGGCCCCAGAGAGAACGAAAGCAAAAAGTGGCCATTCGTATTCACAGAAGTGTGGGGTGAACCGCACATGTGCTGAAAGAAAATTCTAGAAAAGACTCTTCCCTTCCTGAGGACCCCAGTGAGTGAGGAGCTGTGAGCCCTGAATCGTTCCTGGCTGCGGGGTAACCGGTTAGACCATGCATAGGTGGCATTGGCTGCACACAGGCCCGTCCGCTGCTGGGGTTTCCAGCTCGGCCCAGACCCGCCTCCCAAAGGCCGCCACGGTGCCCTGGGCCGCTGGCAGGCACACGGTGTTTTCACAGGACTGAGGCCTTGTGTGTGTGAACCAAGAGAGATCACTGGGCAGACAGCGCCGGCAGGAAGCTACACATCTGATTCAGCAGTCACCTGAGACCTTGGGGTGAAGGGGAGCCTAGCAGACAGCATGGGTCACTGCACGACAGGAGAGCAAGAGGGGTCAAGGCCAGACCACAGAGCCTCTGACAGTCTGGCCAGAACCGTGGCTGAACGCCTCTCAAGAGCACGTCACCGAGGAACAGTGAGACAGTACGGAGGTGGACGTGGGCTGGGTCTCCCTGGGACCTGAGGCTGAGGGCCGGGGGCAGGTCAGCACCCATCTGCGTGGGCGTTGGCCATGGCGGGAAGGGGCTCTAGCTATGCGGAGGGGTGGGCTTTTTGCATTCCATTACACGAGAAGACAGCGGGGGGCACAGGCGGGGACGGTCCGGTGGCATGGGTCTGCGCGGGACGGGCCTTCAGGAGTCGCCCCTCTTCTTGCTCTTCTTCAGGAAGGAGGGGGTGCGGAACTTCTTCTTCTTCTTGGACGGGGACTTGCCTGGAGACCCATCGCTGCCAGGATCCACGGCAGCCCCGTCCTCGGCCGCTGGGGAGGCAGCCTCTTCAGCCGCCTGGGCTGCGACCGGCTCGGGGCTAGCCGCCGCGGGGGGCCTGGTGGGGCCGGGAGGGCCACGGGCTTCACAAAGCCCCTCTTCCTCCTCCTTCTCCAGGGCTGGGAAGCCAAGCGCTTCTGAAGGCTCATCAGGGGACAGGTCGGGGAGAGTTGGCTTGAAAGTGGCGGCATCACTGTCGTCTCCGGAAGCGGGCTCCTGCGGCAGGTCTGGTGGGCGGGGTATGAGAGACGGGGTTAGAGGGCCATTGGCCAGACCGCAAAGGAGCGCTTTCAGATAGGCAGTGCTCTGTGCAGTAACTGCCACCATACTGACTCCAGGAGTTTTCGCCAAGACGAGAGTAAGAAACTTTAAATCAGGTCCACTCTATTTCAAGGCTGGATGCAGTTCATCCTTTAAACGTAGACTCCACTCCATCTTAGGCTGGTTTTTAGCTCCTTGTGGAAGCGTGGGGACCAAACCAGGCTCGGTCACAAGCCTCAGTCCCCAGAGTGCTTAAGGCAAGCAGGGGACGTTTTCAGTGAACAGTGTTCTGTGTTAAACACGTGAGACGAGGTTTGCTCTAGACCCCTCGGGCGCCTCTCAGCAGCTCTAAAACTAGGCCTCAACGATGGTCCACAGCACCTGGTCTCCCCCAGGAGAAAACCACGGAAAACCATGAGTTAACTCCCGGACCCAGGTGCAGCGTCAACATCGAACAAAGCAAAGCCACGTCCCACACGTGAGAATTCTGAGAGAGACGGACTGTAAGGTAAGGGGCAGGGGCAAAAACCAAGCCACTCATCCATCTGAAGGTGGAAACAAAGAACAAAACCGACTTGTCTTAAGGAAACAGCCCGAGGGCTGGCTCGCAGTGACGGTTCCCATCACTATGAGGGGGAGAGAGGAGACTAGTTTTGCAGATTTTTAAAAATTGGCCTACAAAGTTACAAGCCGCTGGCAGTTTGGGCAGCACCAAACAGGTTAGCACTCATTAACATCAGGTCACGCCAAGTGACGCCAGGGGACAGGAGCTGAGTGCAGGGGAGGACGGGTCACAGGAGGTGGGGTTGGCCCGGGCTCAGGAAGGCTGCTGCTGCCCCACCCACCCCACCTGCCCACCCCTCAGAGCCTCGCTCTGCCCCCGGGGCGGGAGGAAGTTAGGATTCGCTTTTCAAAGCAAGCAGAGGTTGCCTGTGGGTGCTCGGGGAACTTTTATCATTGGACCAATGATATCACTGGACCCACTTAGATTAAGCTTAAGCACAGAGCTCAAGCAAAGGTCCAAACCATTCGACCCCATGCAGCAGGTGGCATAACGCCACCCTGTCTAAACCTCGTCTAGATTTGTGTCTTCCCACCGAGCAATCTCGAGTCTCAGAGGCTGAACAGACAGCACACGCCTCTGGGACTTAGGAGAGCCAGAGGCCCCTCAGCACTGGCTCCTCCCTCCGAGGGAGCCTCGAGGGCAGGCTGTCCCCTACTGCCCCCAGCTCTCGGGTGACCAAGCCCCTTCAGGAACTGCCCGGAATGGAGGGGCTGGGTGGGGAGGGGGAGCAGGGGTCTGCTTTATTTTGAATAAACAGAAAACAAAACTTAATAAGCAACAAAGCAGCAGGAGAACACGGCAAAGCACGGGGAGCCGGTGAGCAGCAGGGCCACGGCGGGCGGTACTTACTAGGGCAACAGGTACTCTTTAGCACATCCGCCTCCTGCTCGCAACGCAGCCACGAGAAGAAAAAAGCACAGGGAGAGAATCTATGCATCCAGTCACAGCCACCGGGTTACAGAGGAGAATGGCCAGGCCACTCTTGTGGACACGGAATGGGTTGGAAGGTGAGCCGCAGGCTCCCGACAGACGTGAGGAAGCATGACGTACAAGACCCAAGGACAGACACACAGGCCACACGCCACAGACATGCGGTGGGTGGTCTGAGGCCGACGGGGGCGAGTGCTCTGCACGGACTGGGTGACGCACAGGTCGGACGCCCCGCCGCCCAAGGACGGCAACTCCAGAGGCGCAGTCCGCGCACAGTGGGCTCAGGAACGGGCAGGCAGTGGGCAAACGGGCATCGTAAACGAAGGTGGGTTCCAGTCCCTGAAGTCTGTCCTCCCCGCTGTTGTGACAACTCACTGATGACTCTGTGTTGCCTCAAGTTCCCCAGGACAGAGCCAAACCGGAGCAGAGGCGGCCGGGTCCGTGCGGACGCTCACGGCTCCCTGAGTGGCAGCTCAAGCACCGCCACACGCCGCTGCCCTCCACTGACCATGACGCGCAGCTCACACCCCCCGCTCTGTGGACGCCCGTCCGCACAGGGCCATGCACCCCCTCTGCCAGCAGCCTCGCCCCGCCCCGGCCCGGAGCTCACCTTCCTCCAGCTTAACAGGGGTGCTGGGGGGAGTGTGCGGAGCGGCAGGGGGCTCCGGCGGACTGCCGTCTCTCTGCTCCGTCGTCTCGTCCAGACTCTCTGCAGGTGAACAGAAGGTGAACGGCAGGTGAGAAAGAGCTATGGAGACGCTGCCACGGGCCTTCACCGTCCTTGAGGGGAGGCGGCCCCCCTGCCCTGCCCATCGGCTACCTCGGGGAGACAGGGCTTGGGGGGGCACAGCCAAGAAACAAGAAGGGCACACAGCCGTCTTCACCCTCTTCTGAATTTCTCCCCAGAAGACGGTGAAGTCAGCCAGTCGTCACTGGGATGTGGGTCTGAATTTCAAAAAGTTTAGCTAACTTTGGATATAAAATTCATTTCTATTCTTATTCCTAAGACAATCTGTCGGCACCGCCTCTGCAACACGCTGTGACTGGTGACCCTCTCACCGGTCCCCTCCTGTCATCTAGTGAGGTGCCCCCTCACCCCATCCTCACCATCCAGCCCCTCCCACTGCCGAGCCAGCGGCCAGGGCCGGAGCCCTCACCCTCCTCACCACCTCAAGGGAAGTTACAGGAGCATTACTTCGCTTTTACCTTTTGACAGAGAACATTTTCCACCAAAAGTTTACACATGGCAATCGTGTGCTCTCCTCTAGATCACCATATGCTGACAAGGACGGACCAGGGGAAACACTGCAGGACCCACGGCCCAGGATCCAGAAAATTCCAACTCTATCTCTCATCAGGAAGAAATACACACTGACATTATCCTAACTCCCTAACTCTCCTCATTTAAACTTTCATATCAATAGCTTAGGATATTTTGAACGAGCAGCTGCAATTAGCAGGGCCTCTGATCTCACAATACACACCAAGGTACCTTCCTAAGCCTCGAGCCTGCAGCTACCTCCCTGAAGCCAGGTGTCTATCAACAAAGGCCTTTACGCCTCCTACCTGAGGCCCAAGGTTTTCTTTCCTCCTACCTACAGTGCTGACCTTGACAGGCAGCTTGAGTTTTACCTGCAGCACGTGACCACCGCCTCCCCACCCCATGCCGAGGGCCAACGCAGGCCAGGGGCCTCCTGGCCGAGCCCCTGGCCGGCATGCCCAGTGCTGACAGCTCTGTGATCACAGACCATGGTCACAGCTGTCCCCCCACTCCCCTGCTGTAACATCCCTCTTGACGGGAGCCTCACGTGAAGAGGAAACTTGTGTGTCTTTTGATTTGACTCAAAAGAAAAATCCAGGCTTCCCAGACACCGAAGGGTCCAACAGGCACACACTCACACGTGCGCAGGACCCAGGGTTAGGCCACAGGCCCAGCGGCTCGGGCCCCCACGCCACCCTAGTTCTTCCCCGCAGGCAGGCAGTGGGGGTCCAGGGAGACCATCGGAGTCAAGAGCTCGTGGCACTGGGAGAGCGACCCACTGAGTTGACGTGCACTGACTCTTCATTTTAATGCACAACTAACAGAAAGAGACAGGTACTGACGGCGTAACAGGCTGAAAACCAATTCAGCAATAGCTTTCCGCATAACTCAAATCTCAGCGGCAGCTACACGCTGCATCAGCTGCTCTAAACGAGAATAAAAAGCTGAAACGGGCAAACCAGAGGCCGTCTGAGGGGCAGGACGCAGTGCCCAGGGAACTGTGCCATGGCCCAGGAGGGGACTCACCAGCCCGCGTGCTGCGGGACCTGCCATTCCAAGAAGGCGGAGTCCCGGGGCGGACTGAGGGAGAAGTGTGGTCCACACCCCAGAGCTAAAGCTTCAGGGCTGCAGCTCAGGGCCCTGGACACAGCAGTGTGGGGGCGTCTGAGCCCCAGGGTCTTCTGGCACACACTGCCTCGTTCTGGGGAACCCGCTTCGTCCCTGACTGGTGGGAATGGGCCCGCCTCTCAGGGTCACTGTGAGGACTGGATGAAATACACCTGTCACAGTGTAACTGCTCAAGGGTGACCAGCAGGCCTTCATGAAGGCACACGAATCTAAGGAGGCTTCTTCCCAGTGAAACTTCCAAAGAAAAGCGCCACAGGTCACAGTGCTAAAAGACTTCTTACACGACACTGAGGCTGGCTTTCTCACTAACGGTCCTGGATGAACGTCCTGGTCCCGCAATGTGGACGGCAATCCAGCTGGAAGGAGGAGCTTCGCCCGCCGCACCCCGGAGCTCCCGGATGGCAATGCCGTGGGCGCCACCGGCCTCTCTTCTGCCCCGTTTCACCCCCATCGTCACGACGGTTCAGGCCCGGCCTCGTTTTGGCAGCGGCACTCAGGACAGAGGGGTGCCACCCCTCCACGTCTGTGACACACACACAGGCTGTCTGGCAGCGGTCGCGTGGCGCTCCCAGCGTCTCTGACACGTGTACTGGTGGGTCCCTCCTAATCAGAGCACGCTCAGCGTGTTTAACGTGCTTTGGAACTGGCCTGAATGAGTGGGGAGGGAGCGTGTGCTGAGTGACATCCAGCCTTGACCCAACCCCAGGCTTGTCTGTCCTGCAGGGGCCTATTCCCTGCACCACCCAGTCGCCACCGGGGCACAGAGGCGCCGCCACGCTGGGCCGGCCGCGCACACTCACCTCCGGGGCCCCTCTGCTTCTGCTCCACCTCCCTGCGGTATTCCTCCAGCTCCCGGTCCGTCAGCGCGGTGAAGGGGTTGGGGCCTGCGGTACTCACGATGACGTGGGGCTGGTACTCCTTCTCGATAATGGCCTTGGAGGCTGTCACCAGCTCCCCCTGCAGACAAAGAGGGACACTGGGTCTGCGGGAGCCCTGCCCCTCAAGGACGTTCTCTCCTCCCAAGCCAGGCACAAACAGGGCAGGGGCGGCAGACAGCCCCGAGACACAGCAGTGTCACCTCGGGCGCTGAGGCCAAGCTGCAGCCCTGAGAGGATTAGAGTTTGGATGCGACAAGGCAGATGTGACAGACTGAAGAACCCTCGGAAAGTCCTTGGGCTCCTGAGGCCAAGGTGGCAAAGTGCAGAGCGAGCGCAGAGCACCTCGAGGAGAGTCCCGTGTCCTGACGGGGATGGCAGAGGGGACTGCTCAAGTCGGCACCCTCCTCACAACATCAGAAAATGTCACAGGGGACAACACTCAGGGCAAGTGTGCTCAGAACTGCTTCCTTCCACGAACACAGGGAAGTTCTATTCTTCTGATTATGCATTTAGTTTACAACCACCTCCCAAGACAATAAGAGGTAACAAAACATCCCAAAACACCAACATTTGAGATTTTTGGAAACTGAGAATTCATACAAAAGAAAGCAAAGCACTGCAGACACAAAGGGGGCACACAGGCCATGTCCCGTCTTCTGGGGCAGGCGGGCCCAGCAGGCAGGTGCAACGGGCAGGGCAGGGAGGGAGGGCCAGGCGTGCAGCCCTTGGGGTGTGGAGTCCACCCCGCATTCTGTGCGCCACGCAGCTCAGGCTGCTTGGTCCCAAGTGCTCTCAGGTTCATTTTTGAGAAAGTTACCCAGAATTCACACACATGCCCATTACTTAATGAGTTTCCAAAAGCAACTGAAAACGGGAAAACCCAAAACCCCTTTGATGCCAGGCCTGGTCCTTCAGTGTTCCCCTCGGTGAGGGACAAACACTAGGAGCAGACACTGTCCCAGCAATGTACACAAGCGACAGAGCCAGACCGAGGCCCGGGGAGCCTGGCTGAGCAGTTCCTGTCCTGTGAGCTGGAAACAGTGTCTGGAGCACTCCATGACTAATCAGTGCCAGGGACACAGACCCCAGGGGAGAGAAGGAGAGGACCTGAGGGAATCAGCAACCTTCGTTCAGAGAGCCTCGCGATTTCAGATGAACCAGATGGCTGAGGCTAACTCTCTTTTTGAGCAGGTGACCCAAGGTCTACTGGCTTTTCATTCAGAAGCAGCCCTGCCTCCCCGAGATGGGACCAAATCTTCATCTGACACTCGGCAGCTCTGTGGCTCACGGCCAAGCTGCCATCAAGACCAGCTCTGAGCAGACCCAGGGACAGAGGGACCTGCCAGTCTGGAGGGCAGGGAAAGGAGCGACGGCAGCGCTGCAGAGAAGCAGGCCGCGTGGAGCGCCAGGGCCGAGAGACCAGGACAAGCGAGGCCACTCGCCGCACCCGGCCACGCGGAGGCCCCTGGGGCTTTCCTCACTCTAGCCACCTGCCCTGGGCTCAGTCACCACTTCCGCGCCAGACGGGGGCCGCTGCGTGGAATGACAGCCCCGCCCAGGCGGCGACCTGACCTCTCTGAGCTCCAGGTTTTCGCTTGTAAAACCTACAGATTTTAATTTAGATTGTGAGTGCAGAGCCAGGCACACACCAGGTGCTCAACACCACGCTCGCCGCGCGAGTCTGCCTCACACTCCAGTCACGCAGCATGACAATGGCGGCGGGACACGGCCCTGAGTGAACAGGGGGCGCAGAACAGGGAAGTGTGGTGCACGCGTCGGACAGCAGACCCCTTCCCCACCCCGGCAGCTCTCAGCGGGCACTTTCGCACCCCAGTCTCTAATGGCTCAATCATTGGTAATGAAACCCAGTGGTGGCCAAAATGACCTCAGGTCACACACTGGCATTCGCAACGCTGCGTCGAGCAAGCCATCCCTTCTGGACCTGGAGCTCGGAGTTCAGAAGCAAGCACCTGCTCACCTGCCTTACTGGGAAGAGGGCGTTTTCAGGACACTAGCATAGTCCTTCTCACCTGGTCAAGGAGAAACTCAACTTGCCAGTGAGCAGCGCCACCTTCCAAAAGGAGCACTGAGGGCCACACAAAGGCGTGGAAACAGCACCATTCGAGAGCCTCAGAGGAGTCAAAGCACGTTCTAGCCATAACCGGTGGGAAAAGCCCGAGATGCAAACGCGAGCACCCGAAAGAGGGCGGGGGAAATGAGGTCTGGGGCAGGATGCGCACAGGGCCGTCCTCGCCGGGCTCAGTGCGCAGTGGCTTCCTCCGCTAATCCCTTCGGGACACATCGCTCACAGAGCCTAGTTTAGTGCTCAGGATGCAGGACTTGCCCAGAATCCCGCTCCTACAGGCCTCGTCCTGCCAGCCGGTCCAGGGACAGGGGCACATCAACACTTCACAAAGCATTCACGGGTGACTGTGATGTGCGTCCAAGTCTGAGCACTAGCCAGAAAAAAAACAAAACTGTGTGTGAATGAAGACCGGCCCGAACAGTACCCCTTAATACAGGGAATAAGCAGCGTGCCCTCTAGGCAGCCCTAAGAAGCTACAAACGGAAGCCACAAAACGCAGCACAGCGCCAAAGAGACTGGACGAGTCGGCTCTCGCCCGCAGAGCTGTGCATGGTAGGCCCTGGGCACTCCCGGACCCGACGCACCTTCGCACACCGAGAGGACGAATTACGAACCACCAAGGTCACAAGGGCTTACAGCCCAAAGTACCAAAACGTGAGAAACAAGCTGACGGGGAGAAGCATGCACCTTTCTCTCTTGTTCTGAGTCCCTCCAAGAACAGCAGGTAGAAGAACAACTCTAAGGACAAGGGAAACCAAGACCCATTCAATTAATACATAAATATGCAACATCATGGTATTAGCAGGGATTCCAGGCAGGAGTTTAGAATCTCTGGTACGAATCTGCTTCTCTCTGGCAACTGTAACGTCGATAAAATGATACTTGCTCTTCACTAGAGGTGCATGAACTGAAAGAGACGAACCCTGAAAATGCCCTCTGAACACATGGCAGAGGTGACTAAGGCCTGTACCGTGCGGTCAGCCCCCTGCCAGACACCGCGCACCAGCAGCCTGAATGCTCACAGCAGGTCTCCCTACCCCCGGCAGGCCACACAGGACGGGTTTCCCAACCGCCGGACACGTAGGGACGCGTGTACGTAGAGGGATTATTAACTCTGGGTTTCAGATCTTCATAAGTCTTTTTCCCCCTTGCAATATTAAGAAGAAAAAAATTCTAAGTTTTTTTTAAAAGGTAAAAATAAATACATTTCAGCAGCAAGGGCTGAGAAAGACTGCCCTGCTTTACTTTCCAATCCTCCGAAACGGCATCTTTCAGTCATACGACCTGACTGCCACGTTCATCACACTTAGGTCACAGCTGGGCAAGCGAAGGGAGGCGGTCGCATGGGAACGCTGACGCTGCTCACGGTCTGCACCCACGAGCCTTCTGGGATTGGTGTCCGGTGACAGGCAAACCCCCAAAACCCCACATCATGCACTGACCACAGTCACATGCAGAACTTCAGAAATGCACCACATGGCTGAGAATGGTCACCTCTTAACACGAAATGCTGAAAGTTATGAAAATAATGTCATACCAAATGTTTTAATTAAAGAACAAAATGGGCAGAACAGAACCTTCTACAGTCTCACGAATGATTTAGAGACCCGTTTATAGCTACTTCGGTAACTAAGACAAAGCCTAGCAAGAGCAGACAGGTGCGGGACGGGCAGGCAGAAGGGCAGCGCGTGCCGACAGGTGGTTAAGGGGCAGGGCAGTGAGTACCTTTCTAACAGAGAGAGACTTAGCAGGACTAAAGGTCTGCTCTGTGAGCTCGAGCCCTTCGATTGTCTCCGTACAGTCAGACAGGGGGGCGTCCTGCAACAGTAAACCGAGTCAGCAGAGCCCGCCTGGCCCCGCCTGGAAGGGCCGACCGCGCGCACAGGCTGGAATCAGCTGAGCGCATGCAGCAGAGGCGGCCGTCGCAGCGGACGAGGCAGCGATGCAGTGCAACGTGCAAACAGACCACGGAACCAGGGCCACGGCTGGCCAAATTCACAGAATGCAGCGACAGTCGCCTGCCCTGCGGAGTCGTGTGCAAGGTTTCAGAGGTAACCACTTACACGATTACCTTCAACGTGCCATGAGGCACAATCCCTTCACTGAAACGCAGGAAAACGTGGACCGCATTTACAGGTACCCTCTGCGAACACTTTCCCCAAGCAGCACTTTGTTGCAGACAGCAATATGTACAAAGACGGACAGAAGTCCAGGAAACCCACCCTCCTCCAGCATTTTACACGGCACACGCCACCCAAACCCAGAGAACTGCTCCCAAGCGGGCTGCCCGCTGCCTGCACACAGGCATGCACTACATGGCACGGGAGAGGGGCGGGGGGCAGCCCCGGGCATGCTCGCGCTTGGCCTAACTGGAGCAAAAGTGGCTGGGTGATTTCTTATCATGAAAATTTTTAACAAAGGTAACGAAGGTTGCCTAGAACACTTACCTCTCAAAGTCATTCGCTCCCAACTTAAGAACAATTTTGGAGCGGATGGTCATCCATCAGAGCCACCACTCACTAATGTCAGAGACAGTCTGAGCTCTCACCTGGACGAGGCTCCTGTCCATCACTACACCACACAAAACCTGGGACTGGGGCCCGGCCGTCTTAATGTCCTGCAAGTTCTGCTCTCGGATCTGAGGATGGCGAGAAGGAGAAACATGTCAATAGCACAGAGATGACTGGCCGGGGCTGCGGGTCACACCCGCGGCCACATGCCACCTGCATCCCTGCTCGGCCCCTGCCCCCGCGGGGTCCAGTGTGACTCCCAGCCTGCTGGATGGTGCTGGTCAAGCCCGCTCAGGACTGCCTGGGTCTGGGGAACGGAGGGCCCGTTCCTACACGTGGCACCTTTTGGATGACTTGGGCACGCGCTCGCTCAAAGGGAGATGTTTCCTAGGTGCCTGTCTTAGGTACACTGTGAACATAGGTGGCTCTCGTGTTCTGATAGACCAAATGTTCCCAACTCTCCAGTGAACCCTGAAAGGCAGGGGCAAAGGCTGTCCTCACCAGGAACCAGCTCTGTAGCTTCCAATTCTGCCCTGCTGTGTGAGCGAGTGTCAGATCAAGGACCACAGGGCCCCAAACCGTCTGCTCCCCACACGTCACGCTTTGTCGGGACAAAAGCAGAAGCCGTGTAGAGACAACCTCAGCTGCAATAATGGTGGCAGCGGAAGTCGCTGGCCAGAGCGAGCACCCCCACCCACGATGCCCCTCCGGCACTCAAAGCCCCAGCGAGTGTGCACCCAGCCAGCACGCACCTTGTTCCTCATCTCCTGGACCTCTCTCGGGTTCGTGTTCAATGGGACAAACAGGTTAGGGACAGCAGAGGTGGAAGCTCTATGTCCATCCTCTTTAGTCCACTGAAATATCAAGAACAGTTGAAAAGTCAGAATTGTGACAATGAAAAGTGGCACCACAGCATTCAATCTGTCCAACGTATCTCACATCTGGTCATGCACTGAACGTCACAGACAATGAACCAATGACCACACTCTTGCGCCACCGCAGCGGTCGGAGGGGGCGGGGCATGTCCAAACAGAAACCAGTAATGGTGGAAGCCAGCGTCACGACTGAGCAGCAAGGGCCCTTTAGAAAGCCCAGCTGAAATCTAGGGCAGGACACAGGCTGACGACGGAGCTATGCCTCGTCACTCCCGTGGAACAGCCAGTGGGGACCCCCCAGAGCACACTGGTTCACCACTCTGAGAGCCGTCAAGACCAAAGCCAGCTGGAAGCATGAAATGACAGGATCATGGGAAGCAATGTGATGTGCTACCCAGGTGTAGGGAGAGCCGGTACTGTGAGGCGAGAGTGGGCATCACCAAAGTTTTGCATTAAAATAAACGATAGCATCAGAATGCACTGTTTGGCTATTTTAACACAAGAAAATTACTGTATGAAAACTTACACAGTAGCTACCTGGTGGAATAGTTTGGTGATGTCAAATATTTTATATAACTTAGCACTTTTGAGTGTTACAAAAAAATATCCCAAACTGAAGCGCTGCATGAGTTCTCACTAGAAGGCTGTTTTAGATATCAGTGCATATCATCAGCACACTGAGCCTTGCACATTTTTGGGGGGATCTCCAATCGAATATGAGATTTTTAACCAAATTCTAATTCTTAAGCATTGAGTAGGCACTGAACATTAAAACAAGCCCATCTCGGCAAATGTTATGCTTTTCAGAATGTTTTCAAGAGGCAATAAGCTATAAACCGGAAGACTTAACAGAAAGCAAAAGAACTGGCAAATGCTTAGCCACTGCGAAGACAGCGCGATGGGCATGGAGCTATGAGATACTCACTGACGGTTATCTTCTCAGCTAAAAATAACTCCGGCTTTTCATTAAAGATAATTTTAGTCAAAACATTAAAACCACCACCTTTAAGCGTGAACACATGTGAAAACTTAAATGCAGTTGTAAGTTAACATACCAACCTGGGAGCACCGCATGGGCCTCGTATCACTCCAGAACAAGAAACAAGGTCAAATGCTGAACAAGGTCCCCTTCCCCGCACACACTGACTGAACACCTAAACCACGGGGCGTTTTCCGGGCTAACAGCAGAGCGCTCAGAGCTGCTGCCACCGTACGCGGTGGGAAACTTCGGCACAGCGTTCAGCACTGCGCACTGATATCGTTAGCAGAAAGTCGTTTAGGCCCTCTCCTTGAACAAGTCAAATAAAACTGAACAGATGACACAGAAAGAAAAACTGGGAGAGCGGTACGGGGGTGGGGGGTCGGGGGGGGAGCAGGAGGGCCGGAAGGAGGTGGGCCGGGCTCAAACACTGAGTCACGGCCCACGCGACACGTCTGCTCGTCTGCTCGGGCGCACAGCGGCTCTCCCACTCTGTGCATCAGGAAACCAGAGCCACCAGGCAAGACGGACTTCTTTCTTTTAAACAAATCGGAAGTGACAGCACCGTTAGGAGGGAACCCGAGCCCACTCGCTGACTTGGTGCCTCCATCAGGGCAGCTAACTACTTCTGTCCGCACTCTAGAACTAGCCATGCAGAGGTCCCCGCCTTGGTCTCCTCACAAGACCCTACTGCAGGGCCGGGGGCTGGCAAAGGCTAGGTGACAGCAGTGAAGACTGTCTTCAGGGACACCGCGGAGCACCGGACCGCGGGGCATCTACAGAAGTGGAGGGCGCCCGCAGCGACTGTCACTGGGGCCTGCAGGTGGCCCGGCCTGCGCTGCACTTGGGCCATGCCGCACCCAGCAGGAGTCAGGAGACTCACCACGATGGCCGTCTACTCACATGCAACAGTCCATGCAGGAGGCAGCTGCTGAGAGCGTTCGGAGGCTTTGGGACAGAAGCAGGGAAGGAAGCCAACGAGAGGATGAGGGCCCACCGAGAGGATGCCCAGGAGCCCGGAGGGAAAACTGCTTAAGAAACCACTAAAGACTTTCCAGAACAGACTTCAGTGACTTCACGAAAGCACTGGAGTTTACGACACTGAACAAACAGGTTTATGACAGAACTACCTTTTCGTGCATGAAGTGTTAAGACTCCTCAAACACAGTTTGAATTAGATGAGTTCCTGCGTTTAGGTTAACATTCAGCAGTTAATTAGTACTTTTGCTATGTACGGAGTTAGGCGATGTCGGAATGACTGGAGAGGCACCACGTATCTTAAGCAGTTTGCAGAGGGACAGCACGACTCAAACTACAGCTTGACGCGTACAGCGGATCTGGGTTCAGCTAACGGTTACCGAGGAAGGCTCGCCTCGAACCCGGGTCAGAAGGGCTGGGTTCCCAAAGCCTCCGAAGCCCAGCTAGCCAACTTGCTCTACATCATCTAACTATGAACAGTAAGTAGGCACAGACCAAGCAGTTGGTAATACAGCTTGGCACGCAGACACCGGACGAGAGAGACTGCAGCAAGGGTTTCACGTGATCGTGTGTAATGTTCGTCCACACCTTAGTCTTCGACTTGGGGCTGCTTCCATTCTGCCCTTCCTCAGAGGCATCGTCGCCCCGGCCAGAGTTCAGCCATCTTGTCTTCTCGCGTTGCTGCTTCTGAAAACTGTGTCTGAGAGGGGAGCAAGTGCCTGAATCGCCGTCACTAGCAAAGGAGTGACCTGCGACACCAGCAGGGACCTCGGCGTCGCTGCATTTTTTAGACTTCTCTCTCAGAGCCGGGTATCGGTAAGGGTAGCCAGTCCTGTAACCCTAGGGTCCAGAGAGAATGAAAGACAGTCAATATTCCCGATCTCAAACAGAGTTTCACTTTGGAAAACTGTGTGGCAACAGTACAAACGCTGAACCCACGCATACCCTTCGACGCGGCAACTCCACTCCTAGGCACGCACGTGCCCAGGGAGACGCGATGTGTCCACCAACACGCGCGTGCAACACGCTGACCGCGGCACTCCTCCCGACAGCCCCAAACTGGGAACGACCCAGGAGCCCCCAACAGCAGAGCGGCACGCCAGGGTGTACCCGTGTAACGGAACACGAAGCAGCGTGAGAATACTCGGCCACCAGGTGCGACAGGAGGGCGACCCGCACAACCGCGTTGCCACGTGGAAGACACCAGATGGGAAAGGACGTGCTGTGCTGCTCCATTCAGACAGAGGACAGAGGGAGGCAGACCAACCTCCGACGCTAGGAGACAGGAGGGCAGTCACCCTGACACAGGGGACACGACTGCCAGGGGAGGGGTTCCCGAGGCGCTAGTGTCGTTTTTGAATATTTAAGTAGGTATGCTCTCCTGTTCATATTTCAACAAAAAGTTCAAAAAAAATTTTTAGAACAGGGCTCACTCGCTGCTGGCTCCAGTAATTACAGGTCACAGTAATCCACCTACTCAGTGTCACAGTGTGAATACCACGACATCCTTTAGGGAAGCCGAGCGAGCGCACCTCCCGACAACTGGTTGTCTGCAACGTCACTTCACCTCTGACTACGACCTCACCCGAGCTCAACCTCCGACTCTGCCGTAAGACCACTCATGATGTTCCGACACACGTGGCCCCTGCCCTGCGACACACGTGTGTGCGGCTCTGTAGCAGCACTGAGACCGCCGCGAGGGACCAGCCTGCTCACTCGCCCCCATAGGCAGGAGGTCCGAGGCAAGGGCGGGTCTTACTCATCCCCACTGGGAGCCTGGCACTTGGCAGGTGTGGCAGACTGAGGGCAGGGCAGCTCCAAGGTCACCACCTCCTGTACCGTCCTTCCCCCTGGAATGTGGGCGAGCCCTAAACTAGCTTGAGCAAAGACAGGATGCATGGCGTGGGCACAGCGCACACCCCACGAGTCTCTGCATCACTGGCTCCGAAACAGCAAGCTGCCCTGACTGTGGCTATGAGGAGCTGACCTCTGCCCAGGGCCTGAGTGCACCCTCCCCGCCCAGCCTCCTGAGGAGGGGCCGGCAGTCGACAGCTTGACGGTGACCTGAGACCCTACGCGAGGGCCGCGCTCAGCTAGACCTGTACACCCGACCCCTGGTTTCCTATCTGGACTAGGCTGTTCCCAGCACCCTCACCAGGGAGGACAAGGGAATTCAGATCTGAAAGGGTGACACTGGGCTGGTCACAGCACATGGGTCATGGCCTGTGCCCGCTTGCCAGATGCTGCAGACACATCTGCACTCCCCTCTCCCCTCAGGTGCTCCCCCTCTTTGGGGCGCCCGCATTACTAACCATTCTTTTAGCACGTTAAAAAATGGATGGTATAATCCCAGAGTGTTGCTGCTGTTTTTCTCCCTAACTGTCCTCAGAGAGAGAGGTGAAGGTCTGCACTGGCCGTTTCTCCATCTGGGAGCACGCTTCGTTGGAGAATGAAAATCACGACTCGGCCTTCAGAGAAACACGGTTCTCATGAATTCCAGCTTCTCTGGCTTAGAGAGCCAGGACTCGAGGAATCTCCATGACTTCATCAGGGTGAACCACCCAGGACATCACAAAATTTTACCCTGACACAGGTGTGTGTGTGTGTGTGTGTGCGCGCGCACGTGCGTATGCGTGTGTGCGTGTGTGTGCACGCGCGCGTGTTTATTCTCCCCCTTTAAATGCTGTCAAACCGAAATGAGAGACATTGTGCAGACCTCAGTTAAAAATTTGGATTCATTTCTTCCTCCAGAAGCTGGAATCAAATCCTGATTTTGTGAGAAATTCAGCATTTCTTCTGTGTATGTTAAAATGAAATCTCTCACACTGAGACTCTTCAATTATTCTCTACCCTACTCACTTATTAGCGAACACATACAGCTGATCAGAACACTAATTAAAACACGCACCGTGATCAGTGATCGCTGTCCACTTTACTTCTTATAAACTACACGGCTTTCTAACGGTAAAATGCTACTACCAACCCGTGCATATTAAGGATGCTGAATCAAATACCCTTGTTGTAATGAACGTTTCACTTATCAGTCTTTCATCCTTTATTTTTCTCCCCATCAAATTAGAGGTAATTTTAATATCTCTCTCCACTTTCCGGACGGTACTGAATGCACGAGACGAGGCGAGCTGATGTTCTCGATTCTTGTTTCCCTTTCCTGCTCCCCACCTGACTTTGAGGTAGCGGAGCAGTGAAACGTCAAAGTATTTGCCAAGAGGAGAGAAGGAGGACTGTAAGACTGGGCTACCACAGCGCTCGTCATCTTGTTGGTCCCCCGAGAGTACCTGACTCCCGATGCTGATGCCTGGGCCCAAACCTTCTCCAGGTGAGCCCTTTCTGAGGTTGCATCATCCTGGTCTGCCACGTAACTCCCTCTGCTTCTCCCATCTTCCTGGTAAGCTCTGTCCCTCTTCCTGGCTGCCTCTGACCAATCCTCACCCACGCCCATCTCTGCCCCTGCAGCTCGTCATGCTCTGTGAGGGCAAAGACCGCAAGTCCTGGCTGCAGCTGGGATTTGTCATTTCCCTGACTAGGCTATAAATTCCTTAAGGGCAAGGAATTTGTGTCCTGCTCACCGCTCCAGGCTCCAGAGCAGTTGGTTAGGCGATGTAACCCATCTTCAGATTCTCGCTCACTGTTCCCTCACTGACCGAACCTGCTCCAAGACAGGTCCTTGCGTCCACCACTTAAAGTCAGGGCCAACAAGGTGGACTCCCTGCAGCCCCTCTGAGAGGTGTGGCAGTGCAGCATTAAAGGGCCTTGCTGCAGAGCTGTGTGTCTTGTAATGTGGCTGCTTCGACCCTGAGGCTCTGTTCTGATGTATAAGAAGCCTGGCAGGACCGGGCACGGACCAGGAAGGCGCCCTCCCGCTCCCCGCGATGTCCTCAGTGGTCCTCCTGCCTCGGGCTCGGACGCCTTCCTCCTCCCAACTCCACCGATCGCGGTTCCACCTGTTCTCTGAGGTCGTTTCCAGGTGCCATCTCCTACACAAAGTCCTCTCCCAGATCCTGGGGAAGGATGACGCCCTCCCTCCCTGGAAGCCCCACCACAGACCACAGCCTGTGTGTACTGCGGCGGCACCCCCGCCATGCTGAGAGCTCTGCCAGCACAGCTCCTGCACTGTGCCGGGCTCACTGTCCCTGCATAAGGACGAGGGTCTCCCGCACAGGAAATCGGCAGCAAGTGTCCGTGGAACACAGTACTCAGCCCCCAATGGCTAGAACTTACTGTTAACACAAACGAAAGATACTTGGCTAAGTATCTGATTTATAAAGTGCCCCTTGAAAGCTCGCATGTGGGACAATGAGTGCTGAGCGCGTCCTGCTGCCCTGGGAGCTAGTAACCCGGCAGCCTGCTGTGGGGCAGAGCCGTCTCCGTGCCCCTGTCCCCACGGAGGCCAAACAGGATTATCTTTAAAAACAAAGTAAGACAAAAACCCACACTCTGTATGCTGGCGCGACGTGGCTTGGAAGCTGAGCTGCCCTGGTGCCGCTTCGTGGCGCTCACGTGGGGGCGCTCAGACACCGCCTGGGGACAGCACCTCACAGCACTGTCTCGCCTATGACTAAAAACACCGAAACCTGTGCTTCAGAACGAAACCTTTACCATCAAGTGGTAGCGACGTTCTTACCAGATTATCAAGCATCCGCATGAGGGCTTCAAACTCCTGCTCACCAATCAGCCACTTGGGAGGTGATCCGGTGCCCTCCCCTGCCGGGGACTCCGGGGAACGGGACTTGGCTTTGTACTTCCCAGGATCCAGGAGGACTAAGTTGTCTGGCCCTCCTGTGCTGGCCAGAGTTCGAACCTTTTCCAAAACAAGCAGACACTGCAGTTGGAGCGCCTTAGAACAAGGGGGTCGGGTAACTATCAGAGATCTCTTAAACAGAACTGTAGGTTTCAAAAGAAACCAAAGCACCGAGTGTAAGAACTAAAAATGTAGGACGAACTGTGACAGACCCATCACAAGGGTCTTCTCAGCAGCTTTCCTTCAGCCTGACAAAAACGTTGGGCACACACTTTGGAGGAGAAAGAGGAAGCAAAGCACCTTTCGAGATCGTATGAAGCAGACTGAGGACCATATCACCACAGAGACGCAGGCTGTGGCACCAGTGGGGAGACCAGATCTGGCTTAAGCGGCACGCACAGCCTTGAGACTGCGAGCAAGTCTCTAGCTCTTTGCACCTTGTTTTTCAAAAGGAGTGCCATGAGGCGCAACTGAAATGACATGCAATAACACACGTAAAGCACCTGACGCCAGGCTGACACACACCAGTACTCCATAAACGGTAGTGACTTGAGTATTTGAAAAATAAAAAATCAGTCTACGGCCACGCCACCCGGAATGTGCCCGGTTCATCTGATCTCGGAAGCTAAGCAGGGTCGGGCCTGGTTAGTGCTTGGATGGGAGGCCACCTAAGAATACTGGATGCTGTAGGCATTAAAAAAAATTTTTTTTTAAATAAAGAAAAAAATCAGAAATAAAAAGCCCAGTAATCATTTGCCAACCTAAATCAGTAAAATGGCATTTGCCCTGGTCAATTTCCAAATCCATGAGCTCATATTTGGCAGAGAGTGTTCAAAGACATCCCTGCAAAACCAGTAGCAAAACTCTACGGGAACCCCAGAAACCCCGACATAAAGCGCAGAGCGAACATACGGCACCATTCACCTGGATCTCACATGCAACCACGAGGTTATGGATGTAGTAGAAGGCCTCCTCGACGCTCTCTCCGACAGACACGAGCCCATGGTTCCGGAGAATAAGGACCTGAAGGGACAGGAAGCTCACGGAGCTGGGCAGGGAGACCGACCCTGTCACTGTCCTCCTCTTCCCTCTATAACCCGATACCAGATTAGATGGCTACTGACCTTGCTTTTAGGCCCCAAATTTTTCTGAATTAAAACTTTTTCCTTCTCGTCAATCAGAATGCCATGATAATCATGGTAAGCCACTTCTCCAAGGGAAAGCGCCTCCGGAGAGATGGGCAAGAGGCCGCATTTCATCGCCGAGACCTGGAGAATAAGCAGGAGCCATGAAGGCAAATCAAGAGTAACATGCTGACTGCTTTTTCCTCAAAGAATAAAAAAGGGGAACAGATTTTATTTTGTTCTAGTCTCAGAAATAAATGAACCTGTGAACGTAAGATAAACTTTACTTCTAGGGGCTTACTCCCAATCTACAGTTAAAAATCACTTGGCTGGGGAAGCCGCAAATAAATCTCACATCTTTCTGGATTTCTGCCACAGTGACTGTCAGCGCCACGTGAACTCAGACGTAATGGTCAAATGAGCCCTGGGTGCAATGCCGGGAGAAACAATGGCTCCCTGTGACATGAGTCTCAGCATCACAGAGAGAGGTTCTGAAGGGCTGGAAGGTTTTTGTGTACTTTGCATCTTAGGTTGTAGGTAGGACTGAGAGAGCTAAAAATTAGATAAAAGCAAATCTATAAAAGTTTAAGGATAACTATACTACATAATTTCTCGATATTTATTTAAGTAAAAAATCTAAGTGTTCATAAAGCCTTTAAGTTTCCTTAATTCTCCCAAACTGACTTCGAAGGTCCTCCGTCTAGATTAACAATCTCCAAAGACTCAAATGTCTATAGGTAGAAGAATTCCATACAGAAAAGTTAACATAAAAAAGACAATACCATATTTAATGCCTTTCATAGTAACAGCTATGAGATTTCCTTACCTCTAATAAATTTCCTTACCAAGTAGTAACTTTGATAATTATTAATACAAATTACATGATAGCTGTTTGTAAGCACATTCCCAAATGTACCTTTAATAGTTCTTTAAAATGCATGGGCTTTTTTTTAAACATTGACTCTTTTGTAGTTGGAAGAGCATGCATTCTTTTAGGGAAAAAAACCACATCATTCCGAGAATGACATATCTAATAAAACTCTGATGCTGCTATCAAAAACCACATCTTTAAAGTTAAATAAGCAAACCAGATCTCTCATTCATCCAAACAAATCAGTACACGTTGACATTAAAACATCAAGATAGATTAAAATTCAGCATTACTCAATCAATGAGGTCATCTGTCAGACAAATAACCCCGAAGTCATTAACATGTAAAACTGGTGATACAAAACCCATTCTGCAGAGTCCCAGAGTGTTCCCCTTTCACATGACTGTACCAGCAACCAGAACGCGCATGTTCACACTGAGGTCAGGGCTTTGTCAGGGTGACCCATTGGCACCAGAACGGCGCAGGCTCGGTGCTGGGCTGGGACGGGATCTTGGGAGGCTGTGGGCTCAGAGGCAGCTGTCCAAGGGCCGGCACGGTCTGTGCCCTCCTCCCCCGCATCCCCCGCCTGTCCTCTTCTGACTCTCCGGGCCGTGACCCAGCCTGGGCTCCGCTGGCTCCAGGCAGCGCATCTGCGGCGAAGCTGCCCAGAGCTGCTTCTAGGCCTCTGCCTCTCCCTCCCTTCCTCCCCAGAGCCCGGCCCGCACTCCGCAGTCCCCTCCGGAGCCCACAGCACCCTCACCTACCACCCGTCCTGCCTTCCCTCTTCTTGAACAAGGGTCTCTCTTTGACCGCTGTCATTCAGCACTTCCCAAGTCTTAAATACACTGAAATCTGACCTCCGCCCTCACCGCTCAATGGTTTTCTAATTTGTAAGTCTAACGAATGTTTTCAGACTGACAGGTTTTTCTACATTAGACAGCGTATGAACCCCTTAAAAGAAAAAAATAGTCTTTTAAGAAAGTCAAACTTAGTGAGAAAAAATTTTTTTCAGCCAACAAAATTAGGTTTACTGACTTACTGCAACAGGAGCGGGCACTTCAGAGGACCTGTGAAGTGCCTCTCATAGAACAGCTCTAGAGCTGAAGTTTCTACCAGCACAGCCACACTCACCGCAGCCCCCGCTGCTGTGTGAATGTGCACAAGGCACTTCACGTCGGGTCGTGCAGCATAAATGGCAGAATGTAACATGAAGCCGGCCTGATTTATTCCCAGGTTAGTGCTTCCACGGTCTATGATATCTCCTTGCAGACTGACTTTCACCTGAAAATAAGAAAACCAAACTTTTAAATTACCCTAACTAGAAATTATTTAAACCAAAGTTAAAAGTGTTCATAACTAATTTTAAAGGTTTTTCTCTGAGTTCATCACACAGAACACAGACCTTTTCCTCCTTCTTGGATTTTACATGTCTAACGGGATTAGAAGGTGTTTAATTATGTAGTGTGACCTACACGTACGTGACGCCCAAGAGGCAGAAGACATTCTTACCAAACTGGATGCAGTCACTTCACTGTAGAGAAGTCCAAAAGGTACAACGAGGAAGTGTTCTTGCTCGGAGCTCACTCTGGTCTGTGGGGAAAGGACCGAGTTAGCTCAAAAATCCAACTGAAATTATCTGCATCTCTCTCCAGTCCACCAACTCACAGGCTGTTGGATAGATACACAACACGGAGCATTTATTATAGTAACTTATCAGGTACATAAAGTGCAGCTTGGTCACATGCGTGATAATTAACTTTATAAAGAAAACACCCAGTGGCTACCAAACCAGTATCACGCGCAAACAGGTGTCATTTCTTGGGTATTTAATAATGAAAACCAAAACTTTCTTTTTAAAAGTCAAAACAGATTTGCTTTTAGTATTCAAAACCTGTAGGATAGCAAACCATCACAAAAGTCACAAACAAGAAGAGGGCTTCCGCACCGCCTGACCAGTTTCAAAGAGCCTCCACGACATCGCGTGGTCACTCCCTGGTTTGTTCGCTCCTTCCTCGGCACCGTTTCCTTTCCGGAACTCATCCAACACAGGTTTGGCACAGACTATGTATCTGTGCTCGATGCTAGTAACACAGTGGGAAAAAGAGTCCTGCCCTGAAAGAGCCTCAGTCTAGTTTCTACGATGATCCTGGGTTAGACTCTAAAGATGTCCCCAAGCCATTCGGTCAGAACACATTTACTATTGGGCTAAGAATTCTGACAAGGGATTTGGGCAGGTGGAATTTAGTGCTGGTTGAAAAGGCCTTCAGGTGTTTAGTCCAACTTCCTAACCAGCGCAGCGAGTTCTGTGGGGGACCAAACAGAAACACACCGGGTCTGTGTGGGCAGCTGTAGCGACGGGCACGCCCACCACGTCCTCACGCAGCATGCCTCCCTGCTTCGTTCAGCAGTCACTAAGCATCTACTACATCCTGGGTGCTAGGGTGCAGCAGTAAACGAATGGAAGCTAGGGAGACCTAATCATTAAAATGTCCTCACACTGAGTGAAGATCTGAGTTCACCGCTGCTTCTGCACGCAACACAGAACTAACTCTATCCGCCGTCTGCAGTTTAGTTCTCAGACAGCTACAATCATCCCACCTCCCCCTGATCGCCATGGGAAACTCACTTGATTCTCTCTGTACGGCATAAGGGAGACCCACGGTCACCTGAGACTTCGGTTAAAATCCTAGCTGTGCCAGGAACTGGCTACACTGTCGTGGGCCGTGGGGTCCTGATCCATAAGATGGGGCTGATGAGAGCTCGTACTCGCGACAGAGCTCTCACTAAATGGCATCGCCTCACTGTGGCCATCGTGGGGGCAGCAGCAGCGGCAGCAGCAAACCACCACCATTAACGCACCCGTTCTAAGTCCCCATTGCCAAGCTATCCGCTTTCTTTTAGCTGGCTCAAAACTAAACACGTGGTTTCAACCTTTCCCCAAAACACTTTCCTGTTAATGGTGAGTTAGCCAGGCTTTTTATTTCTAATCTGTTCTTTAATTTTAAAAAGCATGCCGATCTTTTTAATTATCTAAAACAAAACTATGTAATTGTCCCAATTCCCAAGCTGGGTCAAAACAAAACATAAAACAAGGAATTGTTTTGTGTATTTATCGGTTGGAATGAATAAAAATAAGGTTGGAAATAGGGAAAAATTAAATGTCAAATATTTTTGCTTATTTTAAAAGATTTTATTATGAAACATATATAGAGTATTCAAAGGGTATGTGTAAATTCGGGTATAATAAATCAAACACCCACGTAGCTTTCGAACAGCTTCGGAAACAGGAAGTCTCTCTCTGAAGGTCCAGTTCTCTTCCCCCACACCCCAGAAGTAACCCCTATCCGGAATCACTTGTTAAGCATTTTCTTTATTTTATAGTTTTAGTTTATATATATTCACCCTAAGCGATATGTTTAATTTTTATCTGTTTATATGAACTTCATATAATTGGAATCATACTGTGTATATTTTTCAGCAACTTTTTTCAACATTTCAAGTATAGTTGCGTACAATATTATATTAGTAATATTAGTTTCAGGTGTACAGTATACGGATTCAGCATTTCTACACCTCACAAGGTGATCACCCGTCACCATGGACACGCATTACAGCATTACTGACTCGACTCCTTTCCCTCCTCCTTCCATCTCCACTCTCTCCCCGCTCTGGCAACCGTCCTTTTGGTCTGTGTTTCTAAGTCTGTTTTTGTTTTGTTTGTTCGCTTTTTTTTTTTTTTTGAGTCCACATATAATTGAAATCATATGGTATTTGTCTGTGCCTGACTTATTTCACTTAGCATAATACCCCCTAGGTCCATCCACGTTGCCAAAAATGACAAGATTTCATTGTTCTTACGGCTGACTAATATTCTATTGTATCTACGTACCACATCTTCTTTATCCATTTATCTACTGATGGATACCTAGGTTGCTTCCATATCTTGGCTATTGTAAGTAATGCTGCAGTGAACATAGGGGTTTTTGAATTATTTTCGTTTTCTTTGGATAAATACCTAGAAATAGCATTGCTGGATCGTACGGTCGATCTGTTTTCAGTTTTTGAGGACTCTCTGTACTGTTTTCCATAGTGGCTACACGATTTTACATTCCACCAACAGTGCACGAGGGGTCCCCTTACTCCACATCCTCGCCTACGATCGCTATTTGTTGACTTTTGATAAGGTGATATTTCACTGTGGTCTGGATTTGCATGTACCTGACAACTGGTGATGTTGAGCATCTTTCATGTATCTGTTGGCCAATGTATGTCTTCCGTGGAGAAATGTCATTTTATGTCCTCTGCCAATTTTTTGAGCAAAATTTTTTTGTTATTGAGTTACCAACATTATTTTTGAGATTTCTCCAGATTATGATATACATGGCTATAATTAATTCATTTTCATTGCTGAATGGTATTCACTGGATAGATATACGACTTATGTAGCCGTTCGTCTGTCACTGGACATGATTTCAATTCTGCAATTAAAGACAATGCTATGAACATTCTGCACCTGTCTGCTAGTGTACATGTTCAAGTTTCTCCAGAGCAATAAGCTAAGAAGTGATATCAAAGGGCCTAACATAATGCACACGCCTACCCGTAGGATACGACAGTTCGGTGCTTCTACAACCACCTTCTTAAGAAATTAAAATCGATGTCTGAAATGGCATTCCATTGTAGTTTTAACTTATAATTTCCTGGTTACTAATAAGTTGAGAAATTTTTCACATTTTTATAAGCCACGCTTATTTCCCTTTCCGTGTAATTCCTTTCATATCTTTTGTTCCATGTGATACTGGTCTGTCATTTTCTTATTGGTAGTTCTTTATCTATTCTGAATACCAATTTTTTGTTGGCTACCTCTGAAGTAAAATTGTCCAAGTTGTGGCTTTTATTTTCACTCTCTTTATGGTCTCTTTCAATGATAAGAAATTTGCTCATTTTAATGTAGTTGAATTTATCCATCTTTTATGATATGCGCTTTTGTGTCTTAAGACATCTGTTCTTAGGTCAGAGGTTAAAAAAGAATGACTTTCACCTATATTGATTCTATAATTTTTAAAGTATTACCTTTCACATTTAATCTTTAATTATTGGAACTGCTTTATGGGTATATTAGAATAAGATAGGAACCCAATACAATTTTCCAATTCTGAGTTTTCAATCCAATTGTGCCAGCACCAATTATTGCCTACTCCATCCTTCCCTGCTAATCTGCAATGCCAACTCTTGACACTCCAATTCCAATATATGAGATCTGGTCCTGGGCTCTCTGCTCTGTCTAGTGATCCATTTCTCTCCTCCTTTGCTCAAAGCACAGCACTTTAATTATCATCACTTTATAAAGTGTGACATCTGGTAGGAAAAAGAAATCTCCTTACCTAGTTCTTTAAGAGTGTCATGGCTATTCTCGACCGTTTTTCTTCCATATAAATTTCAGAAGCATGCTATCAGGTTCGACATTTAAAAATAACTACATAAACGGACTCATAAATAGAGCAAACTGTTGGTTGCCAGATTGGGGTGCAGGGAGAGGGAGTGGGGAGGCTGGGTGAAAATGGTGAAGGGATTAAGTACAAAATTGGTAGTTATAAAATAGCCATGGGGAGGTAAAGTATAGCATCAGGGAATATAGTTAATAATACTGTAATAACTACATAATGCCAGGTAGGAACTAGATTAATCGGGGAATCACTTCGTAAATCATATAAATGACTAACCACTATGCTGTTCACCTAAAACTAATATAAAATGATATTGTATATCAATTGTAATTGAAAAAAACTATACAGCCATTTTATTCACTTTTTTGTCTATATACATGCATAATTCATACAGCTACAGCAGTATACATTTAAAATTTTCTTATATAATTATTTTTCATTTTCGTGTTTTCACATGGTCTTTATAATTACCTTTCGTAGTGTATAACGTTCTCTCCAATCTATGTTGAATAACTGAGCCATTTCCGATCTATCGCTAGTTACTTAGACGCTTTAAATTTTTCATCATTATAGATAATGCTGTATTTGTACATCACATTTTCTTCTTTGACTTCTCTCTTCAACATTATTTCTAAGAGTGATCTTAACATAGCTACATCTTTTACTGGAGAAAGCTTAAAATATATGATTTTTCTAAGTCTGAAGCAAAAAAGAGAAAATGCTCAATACAGATTTAAAGCGAAAAATGAGGGAAGGACAAAGTCAGTTTTCTAGTCCCCGAGAGACGAGTGCCGGCCGCCCTGCATGTCTTCCCACATGTCTAATGTCCCTTCTCTGTGTACGGGGGAACAAACTCACGTCACAGATCTTAAGGTCGCTCACTGAAAACCAGTTATCTCTGGCAAAGACCCATATACGTCCCCAGAAGCACAGTGCCCTGGTCACAAAGGTGGGCTCCAGACCAGCACCTCGGAGATTTAGCATTCCCTGGAGCCCAGAATGGAGCTGAACGTAGCACTCCACTAGGGATGGAAAAGTCCTGCCATGAGCTAGGTGCCACCCAGAGAAAAAGACAGCTCCCATGCTAATTGGGCCACCCTGTTTGACACCCGCCCGCCCCCCACCCCCCACACACAGGAAGCTTCTTTAAATCCAATGCAATCTTAAAACAGAGATGGAATCCAATCACCTCCAATCCTCTCCTCTAACACCTGTTAGCATTTCTAAATCCCTTTAGCAGAAAATCCCTATGGGCTCTTTCAAAGGGCACAATGACCTGTTAACACTTCTGGTTACACCAATAAACACAGTTAACAGTTCTTTTCTGTTAAGTGTCTATATAATAACACCTAGATTGTAAACCAAACAAAAAAATGGATGCCAGAAATCGTTAAAAAACCAAATTTTTCCTTAAAGATGTGCTAGTTCACAAGATATAGAAAATATTTTTGGTAACTAGAATTTCTTTTTTACTCAGTACTAAGTCTCAAACAGGTCACTTAACAGAAGAGTAAACAATTAACTAATGTTTTATTTCTGCCAAGTCCAAAACAATTAAAGGCGGAAAAAAACCAAGCAATTTAAGCAATTCAAACTTGTTTAAATAGCATTCATAACAGGACTAGTATTAAATAGCATTTTAAAACGCCCACAAAATGTGACACTGTTATTAAAGCCAAGGGTTACATTTTCTGTTATAGCTGTGACATTTTCATGGAACCGATTTTTAGGCAATCATTTAGCATTAACTCTCTACATTGAACATTCTGTCAAGTATAATTAGCCCCAGATGCCAGCCATTTTCATGCAGGCACAAGGAAGAGAGCTGGCACTTGTGATCAGCTAATTGGAGCCACCGATTAAATATCCATAGGCACCATGGACTTCTTGTTCGACAGTTTTACTGAGGCAGAATTTCAGTTCAGCTGGAATTTCACTCAGCTGTTCACCCAAGAGTTTACTGTGTGCCTACTCTACGCCCAGCACACTTCCCGGTCCTGAGGACACAGAACAGCAGACACAACAGGGGCTCCCTTCATGGAGCTAGTATTAACCATGGGCAGAGATGGATGACAACCAAGTAAACACACGGTGTGGATGGGGTAACTGCTATGCGGGCAACAAAGCTGGCGTGCTGGACAGGGTGACACTGTACAGGCGTGACAGTGTGCGCGCAACACGGTCAGCTTTGCATTTGGAAAAGTTCACTCCAGTGGCAACGTGGAGAACAGAGAGGGAAGGGTGACTCAGTATCTCCGGCAAAGACCCACATCCCATCCCAGAAGCACAGGGCCCTGGTCACAAAGGTGGGCTCCAGTCCACCACCTCACAGGTTTAATTAACATTCCTTGGAGTCCAGAATGGAGCTAAACTAAGCATCACTGGTTATGAGTCCACATGCAAAGCACACCTACGTGTGTCCTGAGTATGGAGAAAAGGGGGAAACGATCGGTTGTCCCAAGGGAGATGGGAGTACTGGCAGGATTACGACTTCTTTACACAGCTACGTAAGGTACACCTGTTACTACAAGCAGGCACCAGGGTAGTAATTGAAAATATCCAATGAAAGAAATTCAGTGAAAAAGCAGAGATTGGAACAAGTTTAAAAGTCAAAGGAAAGAAGCAATCCAAAGAAAGAGGCTATCTCTACAAAAGAGCAAAGGGTTAAAAAAAAAAAAAAAAAAGGCAGAAGGGGATGGGATTCCAAGCCAGGAAATAAGAGTTTGGCCGTAGACAGGACACTGTAACAGGTGGCCAGGAGTACAAAATGGGTACAAACGTCAGTAAGGAGTTCCCATTTTCTCTGTGACATGATGTGGTCATTTGATGGGCGAAGGTGGTCAGGAGTTTCGAAGATAGTAGAAAGATAGTAGGGAACACTCATGAGCTTGTAGGAGACGTCCTACAGTTGCTGGACAGTGCTGTGGGTCCATTTGAGACTGGGGGTGTAAATCTATGGGGAAGGCCACTGGGCTGTTGTGAGGCTCTCTGCAGCAGGATCTGGCTATTCGTGTCCAGGGTGGGAGAGTGTGGTTTTGGCAAGGAGTGTTCCTGAAATGATAGACCATGAAATTCTAGCTGGACAAAATAGGGAGCGAATATGGGCTGATGGATAGGAATGTAGAAGGGAAAATCCGCAAGGGCGGGACTTGTTTCAGTCACTCAGCTACAATCCCAGAGTTAGAACAATGCTTGGTACAGAATAATAAATATTTACAGCAGACGCCCAGTAAACATTTATTGCAAGAATGAAGTGAATAAAACTAAGAGATCCTAATAATGTTGACAAATGGCTAAAAATGGAGTAGCTAAAGAAGTAATGTAAGAAAGAGAGAAAGCTTTGACCAGAGTAAGAAAGAAAACATCTTCATTCTTAGGTTTTGGAGCAAAAAAGAATTTTAGGAACTGCCTATGATTTGGTAAATACTCATTTATTAGGTTAGCATGCAAGGAAGGAGACTGACTGACTGATTGACTTTTGTTTTATTTTATTTTTTAGGCAAAGCAAGGCAACCCTTGGTTGACCTCACGGATTGCAAGGACCTTGTCAGCTTACGATCCCTTATTTTTTTAAATTTTTATGACTCCGGCACCTGGTCTTCCTAGCTGGTCCCCCATCCAAGTACTAACCAGGCCCGACCCTGCTTAGCTTCTGAGACCGGACGGGATCGGGCTTGTCCAGGGTGGCATGGCCGCAGACGCTAGGAAGGAGTTTTAAAGAACTACTGTTCTCGTAATTTTTAATTCAAATTGGCCAGTTCTCAGAAAATTATACTCTGCTGTCAGGAATCAAAAGGAAGCTGTTCCCAGGTTTACTTCAGCTCAGGGGCTTCTGCTTCTAAATGGAAAGAGACAGTCCAGGCAGGCACTGTTCCATTCACCGTTCACTTACTACTCCACTCGCTACTCACTGTGATATGATTGTAGATAAGCTGAGACCATCCAAAGAGATCTGCTAGTCTGTAAAACGCTGCCAATTTACACCTCAGTAATTTCTCCCCTTTGTCATAGGCAATCGAATCAGATCCTCTAAGGTCATTCACAGGAGTTACCATACCAAGACCTGAAATAAAGAAAAACAAAACTCAAAGATTTAATATTTCTTACCAAATGTAAATCAAATAATAATGGTTCTGAGATAATCTTCCACACTAGGCCATAACTGGTCTCGAAAACTCATAAAGACCATGTTCCCTAAGGTAATACAACTAAGTTGAAATCAATAACAAAAAAGTAGCAAAATTGTGGAATGCAGTAAAGCAATACTTAGAAGGACATTTACAGTATTAAATGTTTATCAGAAAAGAAAGGTTTTAAAAAAATGATCTGAGTTTCTACCTCAGGAAACTAGAAAGAGATCAAATTAAATCTGAAAATAAAAAGAAAAAATAATAAAGATAAAAGTAGCTATCAATCAAACAGAAAAAGAGAAAAACTGATTAAATCTTGAGAAGATTAAAAATAAAATGAAATCAAAACAAAATAAAATACACCTCTAGACTCATCAATGAAACATAGCAAAAGCAGAAATTACCATTATGAAGAAGTAGAGAGGGATCATCACTATATATCTTACAGATATTAAAAGGATAATATGAACAACTACGCCAGCAAAGTTTTTAACTTAGATGAAATAGACAAATTCCTTAAAAGACAGAAAGTCCCAAAGCTCCCTCCATAAGGAACAGATATCCGGAGTAGCCCTATTTCCATTAAGCTGAATTTGCAGTTAAAACCATTCCCATAAAGAAAACTCCAGGGCCCAGATGACTTCGCTGTGAACAGATTCCATCACACATTTATGGAAGAAATAATACCAATTCCACACAAATGCTTCCTGAACATTTTCCAACTGACCCTCAGGCCCAGTATTACCTTGATACTAAAACCACATAAAGACATACTACTACATAACATTACAAGAAAAAAAAACAGACCAACCTCTTTCATCAACACAGACTAAAAAACACTTAAAAGTTCGGCAAATTATCCAACAATACATAAAAAGAATAACATCTCATGACTGGGAGAGTTTTTCTCAGGAATGCACGGTTAGTTCAGCATTCAAAAAGCAAATGATATCGAACTGAAGAGGAAAATCCACGCAATCATTTTAATAGATGCAGAAAAAGATTTCACAAAATCCAACAACCATTCAGGATAAAACCTCTCAGCAAATTAGGAATAGAAGGGCACATCCTCAACTTGATAAGAAAAGTCTACAAAAAACTTACCATCATCATCAAGACTGAATACACTCACACACTTACTGAATACTCTACCGGGGAATCTAACTAGTGCAATAAAGCAAGAAAGGGGAAGAAAAAAAAAACATATACATTAAAAGGAAAAAAGTATTTGATTGCACGACCAGACTTGGTCATGACATAATTATCCTCGTTATATATTGTTCAATTTGATATTTTTCTTTTTAATTATGAACTATCTGAAACATACAGAAAATTATAGAGAACAATGCTGTTGTTCTGACAGACAAGAAGTATCTGTCATCTTGATCAACATGTCGATCTACTTTAGATATCTGTAGATTTTCAGAAGATGGTGGCAGTGGCAGTACAGTGTTTGAATCTTCTTAAACCTCTATCTGAACACTGCACAAAAATATTAACTAGAGCAACAAGATAAAAGAACCAAAACCCAAGGATGATAGCTACAGCAAAACTAGGTAACAAGGTAAGCCCACGAAGCTGAAAATATAAGCAGGTCGGGCTGACAGAGACAGAGTGCAGGATGTCAGTGTGTCAGTGTTGAGGATGGGGTGGAAGAAAAGGGGATGAGGGGAGGGGAAGAGAGAGAGAAAGAAAGGAAAGGAAAGTCCAGGTAATAGCAAGCGAGGGGAGCAGAGCCTGATTTCATTAAGTGAGCGGTCATGGTTTCGGCACTTCACAGAAGGGAAAGATGAGGGAGCTCCGGGGCCACGACCTTCGTGAAACTTTCCTGAACCAGACTCTTCCAGAAAAACTAACTTCAGGCAACAACAGAAAAATACTGCGCTCACATGCTACACAAAAATTACTATAAGAAAAAAGAACAGAATCACATCTTTACAGGTAGAGAAAACACACAAGAAAGAAGTGTCCACAAAACAAATGAAAATGATAACCTGCTATTTCATAACAAGGTAAACAAAGTCGTTAATAATAAAAGTATAAAAAAAATTTTAAATCATTAGAAAAATTCAGAAATGAGGGTTACAGTATAAAAAAATGAGATATAAAAAAATCTTAAAAATACTAAAAAGTCGAAGATGAAAATTTTTTAAATCACAGAAAAATGAAACAAAAAAATTCTGAGAAAAAGTGACAGTTAAAGAAGACACCCCAAGAAAATTCGACATGCACATAACAGAAGAAAACAAAAGAGAACAGAGTAATCACCAAAAACCAATTCAAGAAAATATCGCTAAAATTAAAAAGATTTAGAAGGGCATATCATCTGAGAAAATTAACCCAGAATGACCAACACTAAGACATTCTGGCAAAACTGCTGGACTATAGAGAAAAACAGTTTGCACACCCAGGAAAAAAGACCAGGTTACTTTGATGGAAAGGTTGTCTTCGACTTTTAACAGAAATGCTTTGGGCCAGAAGAAAATGAATTATGTATTTGAGATACATAAAATAGGAAAATGTGAGCCAAGGATTTCATACCCAAGCCAAATCAAATGCGCACTGGCGTCCGAAGGCCGTGGCATGCAAGAAGTCAAGGGCTCGTCTCCACAAGTGTTCTGGGAGAGGTCTGCTGCAGACCGATGCGGGGAAGCTGCTCTCCTATGAACAAATGGTCAGCACCGGATTCCCCAGAATGTGCCTTCAATGACAGGAAAAAAGTGGCCACCTTCCTGGCCACGTCCCATTTCCCAGAGAAGTTCCTTTATAGAAATATTCTAACTAATGAATACAGAAGAAATGATGGGATTAAAACATCACCGTCTTGGAAACCTTCCTTAAATTAATGGATCTAGGCACTGAACATCAATGGCTGCTAACAACACAAAAAGAAACCACCAGACCTGTGTGCCTACTGATAGAACACAGAACCACCTATGAAGCAGGGCTCGCCGGAAAAACTGAATTCCTTTATTAGTAATTCATATGAAATATCATTGGGACCCACTAAGAATCCATGTGAAAACGTGAAACCTTACTACCATTTGATTTCTGGATGGCAGTTTGAGCTAGTAAATTAAACATGATGCTTAATACTTTCTAGATATTAATGATATATCATTCTGTTGAATGTCGGTCAACTTCTAAGAATATCATGGAATGAACAGGTAAAAAGCAAATGCCAGGTGGTCTAACAGAAACCAATACCTTACGACAGTCAACTGGAAGATGATTATCCAGCTAGAACTATGAAAGACTGGTCCAGGGGTCAGTACACAGGAGGTCATACCAGTTGGCGCCCAAGTCACCCTGGGCCCCACTTTTGCACAGCTATCCGTTCTCTGCTCACATTCACCCATCCAACATTTCCCTTCCGGCCTTCTTTCAGAATTCCTGTTTCTCACTCATTTGCAAGCAGCAGTGGAGAATGGTGGGTGAGAAATGCTGGCCTGGCTGAAATGAGTTCAGGCAAAAATGATGTGCTGCTCCACAAGCATTGTTTCTGCTTAGTTCAATTCACAAAGGATCTGAGAAAAGTCATCTGCCTGAGAAACAACACAGCCACACTGGCTGATAAAAAAGGAGCCTTCTACCTTCAGGACATGTTCAGACTTACAGCCTATTTTTTACTATAAAACATATTAACTTTGGAAAAACTCCATTTGATGTGTTCCATAGTAGTGTATGCCTATCTGTTTCAAATGAGAAAATGTCAGGAACTTTTTCCAGAAGATGACAGAGCACATGCAGAATCAGGAACTACTCACTCATGTTCAAGGCTGCCATCCCTCCCTGTGGGGCTGCCGGGTAGACGCTGGGTACATTGGCGGTCATGAAATCTGCAATCTGCTGTAATGCCAACAGGCCTGTGGGATTCTTCCCCTTCTTAAATTGTTCCTGTATCATTGATTCCAATTCTTCACAGAAGGCCTAATAAAAGGCAAATTCAAACAATGAGATACCATTTCTTTTCTGTTCCTGGAAGGCAGGGGTAACTTTCACGTTGATTAATTTTTTGTTTGTTTTCATTCAGTGCTAGAAAGACAAATGGATAGTTCACACATGGCTACTTGAAGCATAAACTGGTACATTCTTTCTAGAAAGTAATTTAACAATATAAAAGCTTAAAAACTTCAACAGGCATTCTGTTCTTAGGAATCTTTTCTAAAGAAATAATCCAGGATATGCTCAAAGATGTATTCCTAAGGATGTTCATTCTACCACTACTTATGAGAGGGAAAACAGGTAACAGGCTACAGTTTAAGCAGCAGAAAAGTGATGAAATACACTGACCTACCTGACAATGGAAGTCTATGCACACTCAACACGAAAGGCTGAAAAAAGTTAAATGACATAAAATTGTTCTTGATATATATTTGATATATAACCAATTTTTGTAAGAGTAAATACAAGACTAAAAGCAAATACACCAAAATGTTCACTGTAATTCTCTTAGCGATAGAGTAGTAATTTTCATATTCTACTTTGTGCTTCTCAGTATTTTCTTCGAAATACATTTTTTGAAAACACTTTTTAAAAGTTGAAAAAGGAACCCTAAAACATCTATCCTTCATGGAATAATCCAAAATTAGTCAGAAAGCTTAAGCTGGGTTGATGGTGATTTTAATATAGTGTCACTCTTGAAACAATACACATAATTTATAGTTTCCCCAACTGTACTGAAATAATTTTTTACGTATCCCATAAGGAAATCTTTATTTAAAGTGAAATGAGTTCACTGACTATCCAGATATGACTAAAAGCACTCCAAGGGCTTCTAGATGATTCTACATTAATCTTATTTCTAGTTTCTCACTGCTCGAACTGAAAAGATACATTGCCAAGGGATGAGTATATCTATAGGTAAAGTACACTTATCAATTGAGGGGAGCAAGCAACAAGCAAATGGACTGGTGTTGATCTGACAGGTAAAAGAACGCTGAGAGGCAGGGGCCCCTCTCTACCACATCGTGCTACGCGTGCTGCACGTCACAGATCACACTCTGCGGCAGTCAAGGAGGGAGGGTAAAGCTGACCGGGGCTCTGACTGCAAGGGAGAAATCAAATAAACCACCAACACATGGTCATGAGGCCATCTCTGCTGGCAATACAGAACGCACCGGTATCGGTAGAGGGGCACAGCTTTAGGTGGAGAGGTACAGAGACAGATGGTACTAAACACCACGGAGTGCACTGGGCACAGGGGATGCAAAAGCTGAATTAACAAGTCCCCTTCCCTCGTGGGCCCTCAATCTGAAAATTCAATCTATTTCAGTGGTTTTCAAATCCACATATAAAATCTACAGGAAGCACAATTCAACATACACTACAAGTACTACATACACACACTCCTCTACAATTCAACATACAGAAGTACCAGGCACTGGGGACATATAGAAAACACGGTCCTTGCTATCCAGGAACTTAAAGCTTAGTAAGGAAAACACAGAAAGAAAAACAATGACAGTACACGAGGCCCTCTATGTCCCTAGCATTCCAGGTGGCCTGTATGTGCAGTAGGGAGGTGAACTTAGCAGAGACCTGGAGCCACCCATCTGGATCCCAGAGCCTGGCTCCAGCCAGCAGTCGTCAGCTAATGACCTCGCATGCTTCCTTGGTCCTAAGTGCTGGTGGTTAACATCCACATTCTCACCTCCCAACATCCTGACCACCTCTCCCGCAACGACCCCGTCATCCGACTCACCCCTGCCTCCCATTTCCAAGGCCACGCCCCAGGCCTGCTCATTCCTAGTCATCGGGCCCCTCTTCAACCTCGGAGCCAGGCGTGTGCTCTCCAAACAGCCCCTCCCAGCATCCATCCTTTCGTCAACTCCGTGGTGATGCGAACACCTTCCCACCGTCCCTCCCCTTCCGAGTGTCCTGACCTCCCTCGCCCCGCTCAGGCACTTAGGCGAACATTATGACCATTCCCTTGCTGATACCTTCAACTCTCTACCACCTAATCTGGCAAAATCCCAGCCCTGGTCACGCTCAGCTCCTTATCCCTCCTACTCGTGCTGCGAAAGTGGCTGCAGAAAAAAGCAAGAAGGCGCTGTGCTGTCTCAGTGTAAACTCCCGGCCAGCGAGCCGAGTGCACCCTTCCCATTCGCCCAGCAACCAGCCCCGACGTTGCTCGCCCACCCCCTCACCCGCCCCATGGCTTCCCTCCTCAAACCTCTGCACCACGCCCTGCACCCGCTCTCGGCAGGTGACTCCGTGTGCTGTTTCACTGAGAACAGAGATACAGTCTGAAGGAAACTTTCGCAAATTCTCCTCGCATCCACCTAACCATCAGCATCAGCGTCCACGCCTCGCTGTGGGTGAACGACCCCCGCTCCCAACACCGAGAACCAACACCAGGCACGTGGCTATCTGGCAAGCCCCAGGCTTTACCAGTCTCTGAGCTCATGTCCTTTCCCTGCCCCAGGACCCCACCCTGAGCTGAGGTCGGTGACTGTCCTCAACAACGTGTGGTTAGGGATCTGACTTTCTCCGCATCCCCAGTATCTAGCACTGTGCCTGACACATAGTAGGTGCTGTACATTTAGCTTCTTCACTCTAGCTCTAGGGATTTTTATTAAGTTTCCTATTGCTTTTATCTAGAACTACTGCTCAAGCCAAAAGTCTAGATGTCATCCTGACCTTTTTCTCTCTCACCTCTCCCTCCCCCCCATCGGTAAGTCTTATTCACCCCGCATTCAAAATAAAACCCAAATGAGTGTACCTCTCTCCATCCCTACTAGCAGCACCCCAGCCCAAGCCACCACCATCTGGTTTAGAAGCCAGCTCTCTCTCTTCCCCCACAGGACGTTCTCTCTATACCGAACCCAGCACGAGCTCTTCGAACACGGAGCCTGCCAGTCCTCTGCGCAGCCCTCCAGTGACTCTCTAATGTACTCTGAATGCCAAACAAACTCCCGATCTGAGCTTACCCCGCCTTCCCGGACCTGCTCCCTCCTTCCTCTCCGACCTCCGCGTTGCCTCGTAGGCTCGTGATGCTGATCACTTTTTGACTCTCCAAGCTCATCAAGCTCATCTCTATCCTGGGAGTGCACTTAGCTCCTCCCTAGGGCCAGAATGCTTCTCCCCCGACCCCCACACAAGCGGCCAGCTCCTTCCTGCCATTCAGAGTGCAGATTCAATCTCCCTTCCTCCGAGAGGCCTCATCTAACCAAGTCATGCTCAATCTAATCATCCAACTGCTTCCTGTGGTGTGCTTCTGTCTGCTGTTTACTGTTCATCTCTGATTAGAAGGCAAAGTCTGAGACTTGATCTGGGTGCTTACGTCAGTGTCATACACATCAAAATGTGTCAAGCTGAACACTTAAGATTTGTGTATTGCACATTATACCTCAGCAATATGTGAATACTAACCACCAAACAAATAAAATCTGTTAGAGTTAGAGGCCCTATATGTCTTAGTTACTGCTAAATCTCCAGTTCCTTGAACAGCACATAAGACATAATAAACATTTTTTTAAAAATCCAATGACTATCTGCCAAATGACACCCCAAAATATTAAGAAAATAAAATAAAAACAGATTAGAAGGATGACACACACGCAAGGGCAGCAGCATCAACGTCAGAAAATATGAAAACAGAACTCCTTTACCAGAGATGCAAACAGGAGGCATTTAGTTGCAGTTCAAAATGCTGATGAATCAATAAATCAGGCACTGTTGAGGCCTACTATGTGCTCAGCACCAAGCTAGGCATTCTGGAGGAAATAGTAATTTTTGAAAGGTCCCAATAAATAAAGACTCTCAGGAAAAGTAATGAAGGAGTAAAAAGAAATAAACACTTCCTATCCTTTTGATACTCAAGATTCACTTATCGTCTCTGGTAACCTGAACTACACTGAATTCTTTCGACAGCAATACACCTATGTACAAGGCACTGACTTCCCGTGTTAAGAGACAGACTGCCTAGGACCCGTCCAACAGAGCACGAGAGCTGAAGTTCTGGAAGAATGAAGATGCTCAGAGAGGAAGCAGTTCTTACGGGGCTCTGCAGAATCATGGACACCCTCTTTTTCTGTTCCATCATGTTGAAGTCCTGGCGAAGGTCTGGGGCCATGTTCCTCTCTCGCAGGTATTCTGGATTGTTCTCATCCACTCTGTCGAAGTACCTCTCCTTGTGAGGGGCTGTGGTCGGGGGTGGTGAGGTCACCACGACGGCTCGAGTATCACCATTCATCGCACAATCTTTCTAGGCTCCTACAGAATCAAAACAAAAAGAAGTATTGTTTTTGAATCAATGTCCAATAGCATTTTATAGCGAGCACGTCAGCCTGCTAAGTACAGTGGTCAGCCTGAGGACGCTCTACTGACTGACCCGTCGGAGCCATGACGTGCGAGGCTTCTTTGTGGCCTCAGAGGCACATGGCTGGTCAGCCATCTCCCACCCTTCCAATGGCATTTTTTGTCTGTGCCACTGTCCCTCGGTGGAAAACAGGAGAACAATCTAACAAAAGTATTATGCCCTCTGACAAACTGAAAAAGAACTAAATAAATATTAAAATATTGACAAGATAGTTAAACTCATGATATTGCCTACACCAACAGGATCTGTGAACAGCAGCATAGATCGTTTCTGGAGAAATTTGATTTATTACATTTTTCCAAAAAAGTATCAGTAGTGATACTGCAAAGAATTCCCCAAAAAGATCAGTAAGAGAGAAGCTGCTCGCACGTCTGTAGTCACACAACTGGGAAACGCCCCTCACCGACGCCACCTTCAGGTTCAAAGAACAGCAGGTTCTGAAAACGTCAACATGCCCTAGTTTGTGAATAACTCCAAAAATGACCAAATGGCTCAAATTTAAACATCAGCTAACATGGCTACTTACTTTTACATTTAAATACCAAACTTTTATTTAAAATGATGTTCAAACATACTAAATTATGTTCATCTTTAAGTACTAAGTCTCTGAACTACACTTTTATTAATCATACCAAAAGTTCAATTTCTATTGTTTCTATACAAGAGTAAATAGTGAATGGCAGCTTTAACTATACACACACACACACACACATATGGCATTTACGAGCATCTATGATGTCCAGTCACCGTGCTGGGCACAAAAACTAATGAGTTGTGGTCCTTACTTGGGGAAAGTTGGACTTACAGCCTAGCCGGGTAGACAGACGGGCTGAGAAAGGCGGAGGGGCCGATCTGGAAGCAAGTCTTCAGCACATGGATGGTACTTAAGGCCAGAAGAGAGGAATCTGGCCAGCAGAAGACTATAGATTGAGATGAGGAAGCAGAACTCGCACCTAGAACACTTTCCGGCATATACTGGATATGCAAATTTAATTTTTTTTTTGAGTAAATTAAGATCAAGGAGACAAAATGAGAAAGTCTCAGAAGCTGTAGGCAGAGTGTTTTTCGTGGCGAGTGAGTGAACAGTTCCCCAAGCCACAGAAGGTAATAAGCAAGACAAAGATTTAAATCTGATTAAATTAGCAACTAAAACCGTAACTGGTGCCCATTTCTTAAACTATACACAAAAATTCATTCCAAGTGGAACACAGATCCAAATGTAACAGTAAAAACTATAAAATTCTTAGGAGAAAACAAAGGAGGAAATCTATAAGAACCTGGGTTAGTTAGGCAAAGTCATATGACACCAAAAGGGTGACCAACTAAAAGATATAAACTGGACTTCCTCAATATGAAAAACGTTTGTGCTTCCCAGGATACATAACAAAGTGGAAAGACAACCCACAGAATGGGGGAAAATATTTGCAAATCATATAGCTAATAATCAATTTTCATCTGGAGTATGTAAAGAGCTTTTACAACTTAATAATTAAAATAACAATAAAATACTTGAAAATCATCAAGTGACCACAGTGGATGCCACACAGAGCTGAAGTACTCAGTTAAGCCCTGCTTGAGGTCCTGGTCCACAAAATCGTGAGATACGAATGATAAGTACTTTAAGCTTCAAAGTCCTAAGACGGTCTGTTAGGCTGAAACAGGTAACTGACGCACACCCCTTCGAATGACCATAGGGGAAGGAGAATGACGGCAGCCAGAACTGTATTTCTAGCCACTGTTCTTTACTTGTATTTGTTCCTCTCACCGCCCCTATTAGTTGACATCCTATTATCTCCCTCACAGTTACAGATGAGGAAACTCAGGTCACTCAGCTAGGAAGAAGGCTGGGGTTCCAAAGCAGGCCACCTGGCTGAGAGCTTTTGTTCTTAACCTCTAAGCCATACTGTGAATGATGACGACGAGAGAGGGTGGCGGCATCCCCAAAGGGATGGGAAGGGATGGAGTCAAGGGCACAGGTGCAGACTGGCCTTGAACACAGGAGGCTCCAACCTTGGGAATCTGAGGCTGGCACTGTTAATTTTTTGATGTGCATATGAATCCTCTGGGAACCACATTTAAGAATCAGTAGGTCTAGAGTGGGGCCTGAGATTCTGCAAGTCTGTGAGCTCCCAAGTGATACCAATGCCACTGAACTGGGACCAAATTGAATACCAAGGCTTAAAAAAAATAGTTTGTTTATACAAAAAATATTGTAGCACCAACAGCCAAAGAATCAGCTGAAGAAAACTTTTTTTAAGAAAAAGATTAATTCAGATATTGCTCTTTTAAAACCTAAAGATATGACAGAAATAACAGAAATGCTTAAAGCGACAGTTCAAAGGCAAAATATAAAAATAACAAGGGACTAAAAGTCAACAGAGAATAAATGAACCAATGATCTAAATGCAGTCTTTAAAACGTACTGTTCTCTAAATGTTTCCTTTAAAATATTTAATCGGTTCACTATTAACCTAGTTTGTGCTAAAAGATCAATCCAAAGAACAAAACAATAATGGCTGTCTGACGTTTCTTCGTTAGATGTAAATGAAGCTGAATATTCTGAGCCAATTAAAAAAAAAAAAAGACAAAAGGATATACAGTATTATGATTTCCCTATTAATAAATGGGTCCCTATTTTAAGCCACTTTTATCAGTAAATAAGGATACAGGGGCCTGCTTTAGAAGCAACTATAGCTGTTTCCTGGTTCCCAGAGCTGACTGAAAGAAAAGAGCCTTTGTAAAACCAAGGCGTTGAAGATAAGGCTGAGCAGCTCTTTTTATTACAAATTGCCATGTGAATGGGATGAGATAAAGGCTCCAGATCAGACACTCGTGCCTTCCCTTCCTTCAATAAGGAAGTCTAGAAACGTAAATCTAAACGTAAATCTAAACTTAAATCACAATCAAAGTATACATATGCTGAGACCAGCAATCAAGAATAAACACAAGTCCACTTTCACAGTACTTGGTTTTCTATCAGTTATGGCTTCAAGTTTCAGTAACTTTTTAAGTTTTTAAGGAAGTGTTAGGACAGTAATTTTTTCTAGGAAGACCTCTACAAAAAAGTTATTACTTAATCCAACTTTTTAAAAAAGAAATGGAGAAATACAGATGTAAAAAAATTCTGGCAATTCAGAGTAACTTAAAATAATTTAAAAAGTAGGATCAATGTCCAATACATAGATGATTGTAACATAAATATTAAAATCACAATACAATATTATAAAACTATGAAGATTCTTTAGCATATAATAACATGTTCAAGTGAAAAACTATAAAATTTCCTATTATATAATTTTATCAATATTATAATCACACACGGACAAGAAAATATGGCAAAGAAGCTGCATTAAAGCTGAATAAATTGGTTCGAGAGAAGCACGGATTAATGTTTCTCTCTCAATAATCTATAAAGTTGCTGTAATTTTACCAACGTAAAAATTTTAAGATTTCACGAATCTTAATTTGTACAGCTAAAATTTGCCTACAACTTACACGGCGTGGAAGGAGAGTGAGTTACGTGAGAGAGACGAGCCTGGCCGTCGGCCCCTCGCGGATGCTGGGCTCTGCTCGCCGTCAAGCGAACACACTTTAGTATGTTCTCTCAGGCAGATGTTACTGATGTTGGGAGAAAAGATATTTTAAGATTAACATTCCTTTCTGATGTCCCAAAAGACATCACTCTGCCTAGTATGTTATTTACTGACCTGGAAATAACAAAAGGTGCCCTGGAATGTTCTTTCTTAGCAAAGGCATTCGTTCTAGCCCCAGGGTGAGCCATTCCTCACTGATGTGTAACTAAACCTCGGATCAGAAACCAGACGCGCATTTTCGCTTCTCTAAGATATTTAATGAGCTGATTCTAAAGCTTTGGGGCAGATTCCATTATTTCTTGGCATTCCCTTCAGGCACAGACATTTTGCTAATGGCTATTTCGGCCATTCACATGATTTACTGCTGATTCCCTAAAGGCAGAAGAACACTCCAACCAAAGGCTGAAAGAAGGTCACCATTAAAATTCTCTGAGAAAAGCATCCGCTAGAAGACCCAGAGGGTCTTGTCGGTTGCTAAATATTCTTAAAGCATATCTCAGAAAGCATAATGACCGCCAGGTGATCGTGAAGTACTGCTCCATGGAAAATGAACCAGGTGATCGTGAAGTACTGCTCCATGGAAAATGTGCCAAACATGCTCATGTGGTAATAAAAGTGGTGGCCTCTGCTGGTGTTGGCCACCTGACACGCAACCCCAGCCTGCCTTTGGCATTATCAGT